CACCTGCCCTAGTGACATCAGACGTGCGCGGCGCAATGGCCGTACGCACGTCCGACTCTCGCGATCCTGCAGGCCCCTATAACAATTCACGTAACAGCCGTTCAGCTAACATTCTTTCTTAAGAAAATAGCTTCAAGCCTCTACTTTCAAATCCCAAGTAGTTGAGATTTTCTGTCACCAAAAAATGGCAGTTATACCCTTATATGATCAGACTTCTAGATAATCGCTTTTTTGAATTTCTAACTTTCGTTCTTAGCCTGCATTGAGTGCACAGGCGCGCAATTTGGTAGCTGGATACATACGGTCTCTACCTACGGGGTGCGCCAAAAGTATTTGCGTCAACTTTGCATGAGTGCTGCAAAACTTCTCATAGTTTTGATTTCAAAATTTATGTGGTAGAATGCTGCAATCATCCTCTACAAAATAGCGTTTTGAGCCCAAGGTGATGGCCATACCTTTGTGCAAATAATGATCGTACTAATACTTTAGGAAGGCGCAAAATCTAATTTTTCGGTAGTTATAATTCATTCCGTAACTGGACTGGAGACATTTTCAATGGGTTTTATGTCCACAGTGTAGAGGAAGCTTTGCGCTATCGAATCGTAGTTCTTGCGTTCACCAACAGTTATTCTTCCAAAAATGGCAACAAAAAGTACGCAAATGCCACCCGCGTGTCAGTGGCCGTTTTGGTTTAAATCACATTTGTAAGCTACAGAAACGTGCCTGTTACCGGATTCAATGCTATGGTGCTTTCAAAAAGCTTCTAGAAAATTATTCAGTTCTTTTCCACTGATGAAATTAATCTCCAACCTGATTTGGGGTCAATTTCTGCTTTTTTTTTCGCACATTCGCACCCCTAAAATGTGCAGTTTTTGAGCATGTAGCAAACACATGACTTTGTTTAAACGCCGTTAATTTTCCTCTCATTGTCCCATCCTAGATTTTGCGCTTATAGTATGTTGCAGCCGAAAACTTGCTCTATCATGTAGTGTGTCCCATCAGAAGAGCATTTTTCTATGAAGAAGCAGAAGATTCTCTGAAAAAATACCTGCATGTTGCGCGCAACTTTATCAGTAAGATATTTTGTGATTTTTCTCAAGCCACACTTAGAAATTTTAATTCATGCTATAGCCTCTTAATGACAAAACATTACTAAAACAAAATAGCTTTTTGCCTATCTCTGATCTCGTCTTGCACGAGTTTTGCGTTGCAGAATACACGCGCAAATAATTGTGGCGCACCCTGTAGGTGGCGAATTACAGAGAACTGTGACCTGTTGTTTTCAAAATTCTGCAGCCAAAAGTGTAAATTTCCAGCCATTTGCGCGCGAATCAAATTTTGGGCGTTCCAGGTTGCTCGAATTTGACCATCTATGGCCATGCAAATGGTTGGAAATTTGAGAATCTGTTGTGTAGGTACCGAATTTACACTTTACACCTGACTTTAGCTCGTTTTCTCGGAGCATGATTTTTCAGAAATTTGAGGAAAAAATCTGACCATTCTTCTTTCCTGCACCATTTCGCTATCAGAAATATCATGCTTGAGAAAGTGAAGTCAACAATCCGATTCTCCTTGAATTGATTTTTCCTATGATACTATACATATCACAAAAACTGATTTATAACAATTCTGTAACAAAACGCTAAAAACGACCGACCTTTTTTTTAGCCAACCCAGAGGAATGATATCCATAGGTCTAAAGTTTACGAGGCAGAGTTTACAATCAAAAAGTGGGTACATAGTTGGGTACATACTTTTGGGACACCCTCTTATTCATTTTGCCCATTCTATAAGTTCTGGTGAGAAAAATGTGACGAAAACTATGCTTTTTTTCAGATCAGCTCCTCAAAGACAAATAAGGAACGAGGAATGGTTGGCCTTAATGCTTATATCGCATACGCTGCTGTCATGATAGGGTTCCACGTGTTTGGGTGTCAAAATGAAAAGCACATTCCAGCAAAGAAGTATAATGGCTTTGATTGTAGTTGACCTACTTTATTGATCGTATGAGACTTAATAGAAGTTGTTCATATTGCTTGACTTTTTCATTTTTCCTTACCTAAAGCTTACCGCTCGCGTCTATAAGAAACTCACGCTCTTCAATACATGTATATCCTGGTAACACAAATCCTTTTTCAAATATAAACTTGGCGCTCTCATATGTAAATGCTCCTCAAATATTTCAGAGTTGGATTGAAAACTAATCACGCGCCCTGTTCATCATCGGGACTGGCGTGCCTCCGACAGGTTTCGGCGTAGATGAGCCTGGTCACGTTGGACATAATAGCGTGGAAAATATGAACGAACTAAATAGATTTATATCTAAAAAATGGTAAAATTTTGCTGTCGTTTATAAGTGCAAGTATGTTCACTGGGACCGTAAAGACAGGTAGAGGAGCACCGAGTGCACAAGTTTGGTAATAATAATCAGTCTAAAATTCAATAATTACTTCTAATCGAATGACTCCTAGTTTATCAGAACTAATGTGTTTGTCTATCAAAAACATGTTTTTTTTAAATTTTATCTCCAAGCGTTCGGAAATCAGGTTATAGTTTTTCTTTGTAGCTTTTCAATCCAACCTGCGACATCCAGTGCTCTTCTTTACAAATAGTTCTAATTATATTAGGTAATGCAGATATTTAGGTTCTTCTTGCTTACCTTAGTAAGAAGTTCTGGAGTGACCACGAATGCAAGCAACGAAGCCTTTTTATCAACATCGATCAGATATATCTTAAGCTGATTAACACATTGGCGACGGCGCGCATTTAGCCTTTTACGGATAAGTTGTATTTTTTAGCTAAAATTGAGCAGAATATCATTTACCCAAGGTAATTCTAAAGAGAATTTTGAGAGACTGCCGAGGGAAGCGAAAATTTTTCATAAATCCAGCGCCTAGGAAAAGTTCCGGAGTAAGCTTGCCCCGAAATAGAAGGCATTTTAACGGAATTCAAGCTGTGACCCACCTGTGGGTCACATTTCCCAAGTGGCAGTCGTTGCATAACCCACCTTGTGGATCACACTGTCGTCAAGGTGGTAACAGCATTTTATATCCCACTCCAATGTCTTGACTCTAATTATCGTTCAACAGGAAAATTCATTGTATTGATACTACCCTCCCCCCCCCCCTTTCCAGTTTGAATTGCGCAAATGATAACGTCACTTTTCTAAACTGTGTTCGATCTACAAATACAATGTGCTAAGAAAATTGCTAAGAATGCTAAGAATGCTAAGAAATAAAAACTTTTACTACTTCCTTTCGAAATGATTTATAGGAAAGTAAAAGTCAACAGAACGCCGGTAAAAAAACTGGGTAACGCAAGAAAAGGTGGTCTCTATTTGTTTGAACCTGCTTTTTTGCAACTATTGCAATCAAAGCCGTTAACATAGGATTTTCACAAAGCAGTTTTGAGTCTCTTTATAATTCGTATATTCTTTGATGGCAGTCTTGGATCTAGAGTATTACTCCTGAAAGAATGATAACATAGTGGACTGATTCTGAATTCTAAAATGCCCTCCCTTCCATGTCGAATGGCATTATCATAGGTTTAGATGGTTGATCAAATCACAATACAAAAATACCATCGGTGAACCACTTGATTTTTTCTCAGTTTTCTTCGGATTTTTTTTTGGATAGCACACAAAAAAATTTCTGCTCAAATCTCATAGGACTATGAGGAGACGCAGTATTGATGCTGCAGTCAAAAATACTCCATACTTAAAATCTTTCAAGGGGAAGCACAAATCCTTTAAAATGATTATGAAATGAGTTAGCCTCTCTCCCCGCCCCCTTCCCTTCCTGTAAGGGAAAAATTCCATTATCAACAGAACACAAAGCTTTGAAACACGTCCACGTGAAGGGCTCCATCAACCCACGTACCCCTTCTTCCCCCCCCCCCCCACTTCATTTATCTGCTCTTTAGGATGAATTCTTGAGAAGAAAAGCTGTGTCGAGAAAAAAGACAAATTTTGGGCGCATGCTAGTAAATTGGATGGTTAAAATACAGTACCTCTGCTGTGTATACAACATTTACACAAAATGGCCCCTTAAATTTTGCGAGATTGGTCATTTTCTACGCATACTTTACGGTCAAATCTACTAATATGCATAACTTGTTTATCCCTTTTTCTAGAAAATGGTCGATAACAATCTTCTTTTGGCAATGTTGCCTTATCGCCAAGATAAAGTTCAATGAATATAACAACCGTTGCGATACTTTTCTTTACTTAACTTATGCCTTATGTTCTATCTGGCACAATATAATAAAGAGTCAATCCTCACCATAAACTCATTACAATATTGCTAAATCACATAGTTTTTTTTCACAATTTTTTCAAGTCTCTTTGATCAAAAAATTGGCCAAAGTCAGATATGACCTCTGTAATTTTGTTAAGAAATACGCGTCAGGTTAAGAACATTTCAAAAAAAGCTGTCATTCATCCCGTAACATACAAACTTGAAAACGCTTTGCCCATATTGCCCAAACAAGCTTGTTTGAAAAACCTGTTCTTCCCTGTTTACAAGTAGTAAATAATCCTAGATTAGATATACCAAAAGTATAAACTTGTTGATTACACGAACCAAGTTCATTCTGACAAGTGTGCAAAGCAATTTCAATTCTCTTAATCACAGAATAAATGATACGAAATCTTTCTCGACATTGATTGCGTTTCAGAAACTTGATTAATCGAGTTATTTCCTTCATTGCATTCTAAACCCCAAAAATAATTATGGAGTTAGTGAATCAATGAGTATTTTATTTTTTTCCAAGATAAAGTCTGAGTCATCGGCAAATTATGTCTTATGCGCCACTGTTCAGATGTTTATCTCTGAGTGTCGCGTAGTAACGGCAGTTAAAGCGATTTATTATCAGTTCGGGCTTCTTGGGTGTTTCTAGTGGCTTCCTGAAGGGAAAATGGATTAATTGTGATTTTAATGGAAATTTGAGGCCCATGACGACATAGGAATGGCTTAGACGTGTTCATATGGGGCCCAAGAACCATGTCACCTCCTTTAATTGGGGAATCTTTGGCTAAAGACCGGTCGAAACGTTCGACCAAGCGATCTGCGATTTTGGGAGTTGAAGTGGTCGGGAACGCGGACGCAGCAGCGGCGTCGGCGTCGGGGGGCGATTTTATGTGGAAATTTCCGCGCTCCATTGATTTGCCGCCGGCGCCGCGGAGAGCGCTACGAGCACGGAGACGTGCGAGAAAATTCGGGGTCGCCGCCGTAAGTGCACGGGAAACGCGGAGACGCCGACGTGAGCGCACGCGGCAAGCGCATGGGAAACGCCGAGACGCAGATGCGCAGCGTCCGGCAAAGTGCTGGCCGCGCGCCAACTCACCATTTCCATATCCCCCGCCGGCCACGATGATGCCAAGGAAACGAAAACACGCCGAGGTTCGTTTTTATGTTTTCACTCATATAATTACTTTTCTTCTTCATAATTTCATCCAAATCTCATTCATCCTCATCTCTGTCACCATATACGTCGATAATTATTGAAATAGCGGCTAGGGCAACACGCAGCATGTGACTTCGAGTGCGAGTTTTTTCGACTTCGTCTGGAAAATTGCGTGTCTAAACGCGTCAGTTCGCATGTGTTCCATGTTTTTTGTGCACATTCCGCGGCGTTCTCCGTGTGCAGAGTCTGGCATTGTGCCAGACTTGAAAACCTGCCAAATCAGGTCATCATTTGCGGACCGGAAATCAGTGTAACGATGAGTTCTTGCAAATTTCACCTTTATCAAAGAAGTTGGCAAACTTAAATTCAGAAAAAATGAAAATGGGAAAAATAAAACAAATAAATGTGTACCTGTAATTGTCTATTGTTCCAGTCTTCCGCCCTCCCCCCCCCCCCACCCCTTAATCTCCCAAAAAAGTATAATTATATCTCTTAATAATCATCATTAACCCATGTTTGAGAATGAGGAAGTCATCTGGTTGATCTAATGACGCGGCGACACGCTCACCCCTTGACCTACTTTCATAAATCAATAGCTAGCCAATCAATCAATATCGCGGTGATCTTTGATCTTCATGTATTGTATTCTACATGTTAATTTCCATGGCTATAAACATGTACTTGAGAATCCATGTCATGTTGCCTATGACGTCAAACACCTATTCAACGTGTTTTGGACGCGTTTCCCGGATCCTATTTGGCTTTCGGTCAGTGATCAAATTGAAATTGTGAAAAAAAATAAGTAGGGGAGAGGTGAAGGGATGATCGCTAATAAAGCAAGGAATAAATCTTGACATCAAAAATGGCATCGATCTATAGTTTTCTTTTTCTCGAAAATTGTCGTAAATAGAAATTGTCCATAACTGCGTCGATTTTTAACATTGAGTTTGAGACATACTTGGAGATTTTGACATTCAATTTCATACTGGTAGTAACCATCTTCTCTTACTTATTCCTTTTTTTTGCCTGTCCTGTATACTTTATTTCATTTCGCCTAATTACGCCTTTTTTGGTGTGTGTAGATTCCAATGACTCCCTACCCACTTTTCAAAAAAAAATTTTGCAAGACTATCGCGTGTGTCATTTCAGAATTTGTCAAATGGGTAATTATGAACTCAAAAAATTGCTGCTGATCATATTAACTGTTTTTTGGTCCTCAGTTTTTTGATCGAAATTGAAGAATTATTTGTAACCAAGAACACCTATTTTTTTTTTACAATGACATCGTCGACCAAACTTCTGTTAATTCCGAATTTTTCAAGCCCTGCACTTCTTTTGGAGTCCATCGAATCCAATGAAAAATTTCGCGCACATTTCCAATTGATTGCCTTCTATGAATAACAATATTAATAATATTCGACAATATCCATAGGGCAAGCTACCTACTATTCACTCTGAATATTCTAAAGATCTAAAGACTTTATTGTATATCTGTTGTTATTGTCCTAACATACGTGAAATCTCAAATATGATCAAATTTGGAATTGCAGCGGATTACACTATTACAATAATCCTTAACAGTAGTTCTTCCGATGTGAATTCAATACCAGAAAAATTTTTCTTGGCACTCCATAAATTTCACTTTTTGTTCAAATGATTCTTTCTTTGTGTCGCTGTCTCTTGGCAATCTTTCAGTGTTTTGCTGTTTTTCTCTTTAAATGTTCTTATCTCTAGTTGTACTCTTTACGTCTTTTGAATGAACAGTCAACAAAACGCTGAAGATTACATAACGCTTCTTATCATGTGCTCAGCAAACGATCAAATAAGAATAAGGAAATTTGAATCATTATTTCCTGAAAATTTTACTTTTGATTTGAATGAAATATGATCAGAACTTTCAAAAAAATTAGCATTTAGATGAAATTCTGTATTCTGGTTTTGTGAAGAAAAAACTTGTCAACCATTTAATCATCGATTTGGTAACGATTGGGAACTTTGATAATTTATGGTCATGTGCAAAAGGTTAAATAATCTTTTTTCGATAAGGCGAAAAAAGAGGTGGGGGCAGAGGAAAGAGGATGGGTAGGATGAGAGGGGGTTTAAGTGTTACGGCTTCAATTATTAGGAGTTTATATGAACTATGGCGAAGGACCTTTTACACCTATATATCGTGCGTCAATATACTCTTTGGCTCTGATGCGCCTTCTCGCGCGCGATGTCGTACCGCGACGAGCACGCGCCGCGCGGTTACGGTTGCATACTGTAGTGGTGCAGAAGCGTCTTCCACGTGTATAAACTTTGCATTTTGATATATAAAATAGAATAAAAAAATAAAATATAAAAATAGAAAATAGAAAAAAAATAGAATATTGATCACAAATTTCTTTGCGTTTTTTCTGAGCGGCAAATTTTGCCTTCCAAGCTTACCGTTTATAGTTTTTCAGAAAAGAAAATCGGCGCTTGCAAAAAATTCACAGGCTCATTTTGGATTTTTATGAAGTTTCTGACAATCTTCTCGATTACCTATGAATTTTCGAAAATCAGTCTTTTACACAACTTTTTATTCATGTAACCCTTACAGAAATTTTTAGATGCCCCTTCCCTTCTGTCCGCCAATGCCACTGCTATTTCCATTTCTATATATTAGGTCATTTCAAAAGTTCGTTCGCATTGTTCTCTAAAAAATCGTAACTCTCTGTTATCTGCCAAGATTTGCCTGGAATAATTTTTCCTAATATGAAAAAATCGTGTGGTTTCTAAATATAACTTGAATTCGTTCTACCAAGCACAAGTCGCAGAGTTAAAAATGCAAAAAGAAGACCACTCAAATTTTGGTAATTTTAAAAAAGCTCACCAAAAGTCTTAGAACGTTACAAAAAATACCAAAACAAACACAAACATATGTTTTATGTGTTCCTCTTTCTAGCTAGGCAAACTATTTGTTGAACGACTGTTCTTATGGAAAGTAATGATTTTTTAGGATTTTGCTATACGTTTCCATGAAAATCAAAATTGTTCTTCCTTAGCACAAAAATCCCTTAGCTAGAAAGAGAAGGTCACAAAACCCCTGTTCTTGGCTTTCCCGCCTTTTTCGTGACGTTTTTGGGTTTTTTTTTGAACATGCTCAAAAATTGCAAAACTGAAATATTTCTCTTTATTTGCTTATAACTTTCGATCTTTTTCGTTCTAACTCATGGGAAAGGTGTTGTTGTAATAAGCATAATTTTCTCTATCGAACAATAACACTTTCGGATTTTTTCGTGATCCAGCTTAAAAATGCCAATCTTGAGTAAGTTTATTCATATGCTTCTAACTCTCGAACTTTCTCACGCTATTTCATGGAAAAGACACTATTGTAAAGAGAAAGGTTTCTTCTTTCAAATAAAAATTAAAACGGGAAATCCCACCTAGAAGGAAGGAAGTTATGATATTTCAAGAAACTGGCGAACGAACTTTTGAAATGACCTAATATTTTTTGAATTTTTTTATGGAAAATTCAGTGGGCTACAGTAATCCTTCAAGCTATCTACGCACAATCCATTTTCCCATCTTTTCCCGATCTCTCTCAATCGCATTAAAAGTCACGCTTCGTTCCATGTCTGACCCATTTATCTCACCTCTTCATTTCTAATCTGATCGATTCTTCGAACGTAAAGCGAGTTTTTCTGTAAAATCTTCCCCGATGTGGACAATTTTCCCAGACTGTGGGTGTATCGGCATTGTTCGATGTTCCCATCGTTGATAATGCGTTTTTGATTGTTGTGAACGTCCTTCCCGTAGCGTTTTCTGAGAATTTTGAAATCGTCGGGCTAACCATGAATTTGCGAAAAATTTCACGGAGACGTTCGCGGGGGTGTGAAGGATAGAGAAATCGTAAGGTCATGCCAATAGTCTCTGAATGTAGTACTTTTTAGTGCATTCCAGTCAGTCACCTGTCATAAAATGAAAACTACGCGCGCAAGTGGCACGTTTAATACGTGCACTTTCGTCTTACGACGACGAACGCGTTGGCAACGTGCCAGAGTATAATTACGCCCCATTTTTTGAATTTGTACTAATTATCACGCGCTCTCACAATAATTTCTCTTAAAAGCCATTACTGAAAATAGTAGCGCAAAAGGGCAACGATACTACATTACCTTAGTAATTTTACGCGCGAAGGTAGAAACAGCCGCTTGTGGAGCCCCTAGAAATTCAATATGTTAGAGTGCAAATGGAAACTGTGTGTAGCGTAAAAGTGCAATTCTACGTATGGGAAATTTCGATACACACAAGCTGTCTCCCTCTTTAGTCGGCCGGCTAAATATATCCCAAATGATTGCCGACGAAATGGCATGGCTCGGCTGAAATGGCGAATGCTGTCTGTCTTGAAGCAAATCGGAATGGAATGGAGAAAGGGATATGGGGGGGGGGGGGGCTGGTGAATTATGGGGAGCGTGAAAAATCACGGGTTGGTGAAAGACAAGCAGTCACTACTGTTAATGCAATCTGAGATTTTAGCCGAAAGGGGTTGATTTATTTGAGGGAGAAAAAAGTGTGTGGAGGGGGGGGGGGGGAGGGGGAAGGGTTGAAGATGAAAGAAGACTGCCCTTGATGTTGGATACTGAGAGGTTTTTGCAGTTTTTAGGGAATTTCGAAATTGGTTTACTCCCGTTAGCCGAAAAATTCTTTTTTGCAAAGCTAGTTTGCATTTTTGGGAAACCTAAAGAATTATTTTCATCACCAAGAAAATCACTTGCATAATTTTATAACTGAGTAGGCATTTTTAAAGAATTTTCCGACCCATTCTATGATCATCCATGACCGTCCTCCCCCCCCCCCCCTCCGCCCCCGCTCTCTCGATCTAACACTGATAGAGCGTATAGCAGACAGCTAATCTGATCAGTCTGGGATGAAAGGAGGAGAATTGGGGAGAGGGGGGGGGGGGGAGGGGGAGTAAGCGAATGATATCCATAGAAGGCAGGTGATTCTCTCTCATTTACAAAACGATGGAGAGGGGAAAGAAAAACGCATGAATTTTTTTATTATTTAGTTTTTCGCTGTTTTGAACAAAAGAGAAAAGCCTCCTTTCCTACTAACTCTACCCGCCCCCCCCCCCCCAATTCCCTTCTATCTCTTCTTTTGAAGGAACTGAAGGAACAAAATAAAAGTGCAGTATATTGGCACATTGCCCACTCTCTGAGTCAATTAAAAGTTGCCCGTACTCACTGAAAGCCCGAGAGGAAAAGATGGAAGGGACAGAATAGGGGGAAGGGGGGGGGAAGCTTACCTCAGGGCAAATATCTTGTCAACATTAGTACCCATCTATGGATTAATTAGTGCAGCAGCTCAGGCCAACAAATTTTTTTAGTACTTTTTTTTTGATTTTTTAAAATTTTTTGAGTAGATTTTGGAGCCTGACTTGGCTTTTTTTACAAGGCGCTTTTCCTCCTCACTTCTATCTACAGTCCTCTACTACATTTTCTTACTCCAATCTTCTCATTTCACACATTTTTAGATTTTTCACTTTTTTCAGATTTCTTTTTTTAACCTTTTTTCCTTCAGAGCACTCCGCTACGAAACTCTCCGCGCTATGCAGTGCTCAAACTTCAGCCGGACACCGATTGTGTGGCGTTGTTTCAATTTGCGGTACGTTTATGCACGTGTACATATTTCTAAAAATAGAATAATGGCATGCAGACGTCGTGTCTTGCATTCTGCAGCCGGCAACGACGCAAAAACGCAGACGTCGGAGTGCAGGGACCCGGAAGTGGGCAGTTATTTGGCAGCGGAAATGCGAGATTGCGCGTGGTTTTAGGCGTATTGGCGGAGAAATTTGAGAAGGATGATGAGTTTGGAAAAGTGCTTGGTGGGGGATATTTCCAACAGAGATCAAGATTTGTTTTTCTGAGCAGAGTTGGCTCAAACTCCGCCCCTTTTCACCCAATATGGCTGCTTGATGAAACGATTGCGTGATTTTCCTGAAAGCCCGAATATGCAGAGCATTTCTGCTAAGCTGGGAATTGCAAACGGCGAGTCGCTAACGGCCATTTCAAGCCTGGCACTTTCTAGTCAATACTCTTGGCCAAAGATTATGGAAAAGCCCCCTACTCGGCCTTGCCCTCACTCACACACACTCACGTCGCACGCGCACATAGGCATAGATGAATAGAATGCAGCGTGAGAGACTTCGTGCTGCCTCGTTTCGAAAAAAAAAACGAGGGAAGCGAGCAAATTTCGTCTGGGAGGCGGGAGAATCGAAAAAATGAGGGTTGGGTTCGTATTGCGTCTCTTTGCAGGGTATCTGATGAACGGATTTTGGAAGCCGAGGTCAGCAACTGCTTTGTTAGGAGGATTTTTCTGAACTCTGTCATTTTAACTTTTCCATATCAATTTTTGCAGAGAAAACGAGTATTATAAAACTATTTGAGTAGTTGCAATCTAATTTAGCCTATTTGATTACGATGTGATGCAGAAACTGTTTTTGAACCATCCAAAAGTTCGACGAAAGTAAATCGCTCGTAAATTCGTGCAAGCACGTCGATTCAAAAAAGTACAGACATTTATGTATGATAATCTGATAAGAAGTTTATATTCTCATGGGGTTTGATTTGTTGGAAGCAAATAACAAGGAAATGAGTAGTGCGGCTTCTCCATTAAAGGGTAGTAGACGTGAAATGCGTTTTGTGTAGGAAATGTTAAAAAGATGGCAATCTTGAATGGCTTCTCCGTTGAGCGTTAGTTTTCGGGAGTTTTTCTTGACTGCAAAAAAAAACCCTGGAGCTAAAAGGTTGGCTTCTTGCGCATATGGAAGCATTGAATCTCAGAAGTACAGGAGTGTTTTGAAAAGATATCTTATATATAAAGCTGAATGTCTGTTTGTCTGTATGTCTGTCTGTATGTATGTATGTATGTATGTACGTATGTTCCGAATAGAAAATTTTATTTATCAACCGATCCGGACCAAACTTGGCACACATACCCTTCGGGGCCGGGCGGGTGTCATAGGCTACTTTTCGTCATCGATCGATATCGATTTTATCGATTTTATCGATTTTTTTGCTGAGTTCACCTACGGGGCTGGGAGTTGGCACAGGGGGGTAATCGAGCATGGGGATTCCGAATACAATATTGGTTTTCAGGATTATCGATTACTTTTATCGTTTTTATCGATTTTTATCGATTTTTTTGCAAAGTTTGAGCTACGGGGCTGGGAGTTGGCACAGGAGGGTAATCGAGCATGGGGATTCCGAATACAATACTGGTTTTCAGGATTATCGATTACTTTTATCGATCAGAGGTGTAATCGATCGTCCATGCTCGATTACACCCCTGTGCCAAATTCCAGTCCCCTAGCTCAAATTTTCAAAAAATCGATAAAATCGATAAAAGTAATGGACGATCCTGAAAACTAATATTGTGTTCGTAATCAGCATGCTCGATTACCCCCCTGTGCAAAATCCCAGCCTCGCATATCAAAATTTACAAAAAATCGATAAAATCAATAAAAGTAATCGATAATTCTGAAAACTAATATTGTATTCGGAATCCCCATGCTCACTCCCCCCCCCCTGTGCCAACTCCCAGCCCCGTAGCTCAAACTTTGCAAAAAAATCGATAAAAATCGGTAAAATCGACATCGATCGATAACGAAAAGTGGACTGTGACACCCGCCGGGGCCCGAAGTGTATGTGTGCCAAGTTTGGTCCGGATACGGCGGAGCCGGGTAAGCCAGCTAGTTTGAAATAAAGTATAGCCAGAAATTATTCTGTGAACTTTGAAACTGCGCTTGTTTACCATAATCTTATCTTGGTTATTGCACTAGTAAGGTAAGTGTAAGATGACGGATTTCCCGAGTTCATATTTTTTTTAGAAAAATCTCAAAACAGTAGAACACTTTTAAACCCTCAGAAGCTTTGCGTATGCGGCAGCAAGGTTCTGGTTACCCCAGCATTGAGAATTTCGTACTATACAATATGCAATGTTTGATTAGAGACAATTCATTAGCTCTAACTTACCTCCACTGAATAAAAAATTGTAAAGGCATAGTAATGTTTGAAACTGAATTCTGCTAATCTTGGTGTTTACTTGCTTGACCCGCAGTACAGAGATGAAGATTTTTTCAGTCAATGAGTTTGAAATCAGTTTTCAATAGGCTTATTCATTAGCATTAATCTTCCCCACTTGCAGCTCTCACAAGGCATCTGTGACATTTCGTTCGTCACCTCACCATTCGAATTTCTAACGGAACTTCGAGACACCTCATCACCACGTACCTCACGTCATGAAAACACATCACCGCTCACGACACCGTCTACCTCACAAAATTCCACGGTTCAACCAGCGGCAACTACCTTTGGCACTAATGGCGAATATACAGCGGCTAGGTACGTCTCCCCCCCCCCCCCCCATTTTTACTCGCAGTGAAATTTTTTTTAGCTCGGACACGATCCCATGCCTGTCACTTCCGGAAGACAATCGTGCTGCCTCATCTCGTGGTGGCTCCATTGATTCCGAAACACCACCACCGGCGTCGATGGACCATTTCAACACTGTACTCTCGACTTTGTTCGGAAAAGGAGAACCAGCCAAAGATGTCAGAATAATCAATGGGGTGTGTCGCGCTATGGTTATTTAGGTGTCATTTCCAAATTTGTTATCTTAGCCACCACCGAAAGCGACTTCACCACCGCCAGAGATTCCCGGACCTGGTCAGATCAAGTGCCGGCTATGCGGTATCACTGTCAGCTGCAAAAAGTAAGCTCATCGCTAATCATGATCAATGGGAAAAGAATAACACACTTCACGACTCATACTCACTCCCCCCTCCCCGCCCCCCACCCAATAATTTTCTGCAACAAATTTTTAGAGTTTGAGGTAAATTTTTAACATCAGTGAACAGTGCTCGCAATGACCTAATAAGCGTGGTGGCCTTTTGGCTTCAACTTTACACCTTCCAAATACGTTGGGGTTACGGTTATCGATTTTGAACTCCTATATTGAAATTGATGTGTGCAAAAAGACGGGGTTGCGGTAGCTGTTCTTCGAATCTTATACTTTCCGCTCCAGCGATAGGAATAAATCTTTACTTGTTCCATTTTTTTCATAACTATTGCTGTATTTAGAATCGCCAATCTAGCTGCACATGCACTCAAAATACATACACCTGTACCTCTGTGGAAGTGTCCGAAGAATGATTGCGAATTTGACCATGCAGACTTTACCAGAGTAAGTACACATAGAAAAATTTGTGAGTCATTGAAGCAAATTTCATGCAAAATGGATACTTCTCGCCCAAACCATGCTCTTGGGCGTCTTGGATTACGGTGGAGAGTACGATCTGGGCGAAAGCTCATTTAAGTCCCTCAGTCGCGATCGATGAGTTGCCACTTGAGCAGTAGTTCTTAGTTAACACATCCAAATCAGTTATTATCCCAAAAAACGCAGATAACCAGATTTTTCCTTCATTTTTTTCTTCAAGGACCAACTTGAACAAGTCAACTCGCTACTTCCCGGGACCTAAAAGTCTAATTCTAGGTACGCTCACACATTCGCACCTCACATCCGGAATTGCAAGGTGAAATTCCACGCGATAACCGCAATGCCACCACTGTACCTGAAGCACAACGCTACCTCGCGCATTGCTACCCGTCAATCGATTGGGTAAGCTTGCAAGTTTGAAAATCAATATATAGTTTAATAATCAATATATCAATATATCAATCAATCAATATACAATATATTATTCCAAGTGTTTTCAGGCTCATCAGTATGCTAACATCTTCCCAACGGTAAAGAAAGAACGTCGCGAGTCAGTGAGTGAATACAAGGACCCAGCTGCTGATTGGTATACGGTAATCGATGAAAGCAATGTGAATACACCAGTGCAATGCAGTGCTTGCAAGCTTATGGTAGGTTTTGGATTACTGTAGTCCTCGTGTACAGGCGGAATACGGTATTTCGCTCCAGGTCGCTCTGAACAGACACAGCATCGAGGATCACGTGAAGACTATGCATACTGGTGGACGTCCATATCAGTGTGGAATGTGCAAGTACACAAGTGTTGAAGAGGCGGGTACTGTAAGGCATAAATTGTAAAAGTGAAGATGTTATTTTAGTGGAAAGTTCGAGTACATGCCTCTATCAAACATCCGGAAACACCATGTCTACAGATGCTCACCGTCGCCTCACACAGTAAACCCTACCTCTACATTCGTGAACTCTTCCCCGACATCGCTGGTAAGTTATCAACCCCAGTTCTTTGGTACCACTCATGTCTGGACGAAAAATAGACGAGAAGAAAGCGTAGGAAATCAACACCTTGTTACTGCCTTGCATTCCATCATTTGTGGACTTCCAGGGCTAGAAGGGGAGTGACTTGCACAATGGGGCGTGGCTTGAGAAAGATTTTGCATCAAAATCATGGTTTATAATTATGAGGAAAACAACATATTATTATTGTACTTGCACTCCTTCATTTGTGGACTTCCAGCGCTGGAAGGGGAGTGACTTGCACAGTGGGGCGTGGCTTGAGCAAAAGTCTGCATCAGCATCCTGGTTTATAATATAAGGAAAACAATACCATTTACTTACTTGCACTCTTTCATCTGTAGAGTAGCAGAGCAAAACGGGCTTGGGCAGCAGCTTGCATCATATCCTTGCCTATTATGATGATGAGGAAATCGTCAACCGTATACGGCTTCATTTGTAAAATTCTATAGCAGAAGCGCGCTTTGCCGAAAGGGGCGTTACTTCCTCGGTGGGCGTGGCCTGACAACACTTCATCAGTGTACTGATGATAATTATGACATAGAATAAAGCGCTAAGCGTCTGTCTGTTTGTCTGTGTGTGTATATCTGTCTGTCACGAAATTCACAGAGTGAGTTGCAGCCAGCCTCTTGATCTAGAATTTTGGTCACAGCATCCTGTCAGCGCGCAGGTAAACTGTGCAAAATCACAAGCCGATCCAGTAAGTGGAACCATCGGAAACTGTGCGTCAAACGGCTCCACGCTACTTTTGGCCCGCCAAAATGGGTCGCTAATTGGACTTTTTGCAATGTCGTGGATTTATTCAGCAAGTAAATCCGAAAAACATTAACTTCAGCTCAGAAAGTAAGCAAAAAGTCTATTATTACACAGAATTGGCTCCAAAAAGATGTAACTGAGCAAATTGTCGATTTGCCAAGTTTTTACTATAAAAATTGAGAGGATTTTTGAATAGATATGTAGCCCAAGGTGGTCTTTATCCTTATGGCGAATATAAAGCCAAAATAAATTCAGTAATCCGTTCAAATTCGCATTTGTTTTCCTGCGGGAAAATTTTTTCTCCCAAAATTACCAGTCTTACATGGAAAAGCTTTAAAAATGAATGGTTGTTTACAATTCATTCGTGATGTTCAGCATCGTGCGGTGAGTTTCAAAGTCATTACTATGCGATCACGAAGAAGGCACGGATAGTAGAGCCAGTGCGAACCTCTGCGAAGCAGAGGTGATGCACTGGTAGGCAAATAAAAACCTTTTGCTGTTTTTGCCCGTCTTCAATTGCGAAATCCGGCGTTAAAAGGTGCGGCTTGTGCGTAGGGCGTGGCTTGCCTCAGGGGCATGGCTTGAACAGTACTTAACGTCTTTTTGGTATAAAATTTCGTCTTTTGTAGCACTACTGCCTGAAGATGAAGTGGATGAAATGCTTTATGGATTCCGTCAGCTCAATCCATCTGTACTCCTCTCTGTACCAACCTCAATTAGCTCACAGAATGATGCCGCCATGGATACTGCTGCCGATTCTACCTCATCATCTGTTGACCTCAAATCTATCAAAGTAAGTCCTGGAAGTTTATTGCTACTTTTGAAGCTCATATGGAACAGTTGTGCCCGCTACAGTATGCTACAGTATGCTACCGTAGTCTGGGAGAGGAGGGACATCATTTTTTAGCAGAACGCGTCTTGCATGAGAAGGATATTGCTCTCCTATTAGTGGATCATTTTGAGTGCGCCAAGAACTGGGGGCCGCCTCTCGAAAGATTACGGTAGCTTACAGTATATGGCAAAAAGGTCCAGTCTTTAAGATTCTTCTCAAGTTTCATCTGGGATGCTAAAAGAATTCTAGGACACACTACACACCTCTTGTTTCCAACCTCCTGTAACGACGCTCAACGAAGAGACTCCAATCCTGCCAGACCCATTCCAAACCATATTCCTCGAGCTCCTCAATAATCAACATGCACCTCTTCCTATTGTAAGTTGCGGATACTGTTAATGATCACTGTAGCCTTACGTAATATTGCAGAAACCCTCACCTATTCGTAAAAATCATAGCTCATTGTCGGTGGAACGATTCGGAAGCAGAGTTGAATGTGCTGTGAGTCGATTTTCTGAATTATTGGTTATCTAAGGAGTTGGAGCTAAAAATCAATAATCGATTTTTTACAGTTGTGCAAAGCACCAGTAGAAAGCAAAAGAACAATGCTTGTCGGTCATGCGAAATCACACTGTCCACAGAGACAGGTAAGTTGATGCAAAAGGGGGTAAGAGGAAAAATAATTTGCCGAATTTCAGTGGCAATGCCCTCATTGCGAAACTACAGCTGCATTCCATTCAAAACTGAAATTACATGTGCAAAATGCGCATAAAAGTGATGCTGAACCTATGGATATGTAGTGAGTTTACAGGATTACAGTTTAGAGCTTTAGCGAGTTGTCAGAGAGCGGGAAGGAGTCTATGTAGGCACAAACAGATTCTTGAAAATTGCTACATAGTCGTCAATAAATAATTTCTAGTCATTAATGATCTAGAAGTACCCCATTTTTGGAAAGTGGTGCTTGGAGATTTGCTTGAAATGCGGAAATTTTCTCTCCCATTTGTTTCTGAGCACTCAGAGACAGGGGTTTTGCGACAGCGTCCAAAGCTGCTCGAGAGCCGGAACTGCGCCAGCGCCGGGCCAAGCGCGTGCCATTGTCGTGCTGAAACCCGCATAACGCGTCCTGTGTCAATCGATCGACCGTCTGTGGCATGGTGTAGGCACGAGCAACTTTGGAGGCAGCCTAGACTTTACAGAGAATAATAAATTTCAATTATTTCATATTCTAATTAAGCAAAGTTCGGGTTCCTCTATCGCGCCAAATTCAATACATGATTTTATTAAAGAAGGAACTTGCTTATTCAGCTCCGCCGAACTGGAAAACAAATGGTTAGAACTGTTTCGCCAATGTTTCCCGCAGTTTGCGCAGCAGTGTTTTGTCGAAGAATGGAAATTCCGATCTAAACAACAGCAACACCTACACAGTTCCACTGCTGAAGACTGGAGCAACAAAGGTCGGTGAGAAATTTTTAAGCTCTTTTATTTTTTGGAAGAGCAAAGCTAGGGTTGAGGTTCAGTTTTATTTTTAGGCATTGAAAGTGGCGAACAACTTCGGCGTACAATCCTAATCGAACCTGACGAATCGAAAAAAGATGAAGTGAAAACAGAAAACCACGCATCTAGCAATGGAACCTAATTGTGATCGTCTGCTTTTTGTGGATTCATACTGTCAGTTATACCAAAGCATCCGAAATTGTCTAACATTGAGTAAAATAACTTACAAATTAAGTCCCTTATACTTCATTTCTAAGTAATCGTAACTTACCCTAATAACAAACCCTATATCATGATGTGTTTTAAAATTGTGTGACGAATCGTAGTTGTTTCCATATACGTCGTCTATCTATCAGGTTTGTATATAACCATGCATATTATTCCGTTGAAGGTGGTCTCGTTGTGTTGTGTTTTCCTCAGTTTCTCTTTCCTTATACTATGATCAAAGCTAATGAAGTGGTTTTCTAAATTACGCGCCTGTTTAGTGCGCCATAGATGAAGAGAGCGCGCCCCTCCTTTAGATGTATTTTTACTAATTTTGAAGCCATTCCTTCTTCTGGAAGGTTGCTATAGAAAAAGTAAAGAGGAACATCATAAAGGTATTGGCTCGGCAAATCCTTGATCTGAAAATACCGTGCTTATTTGAGATAGTCCGACACGCTGATCCCGGAAATCCACCTTGAAGGCAGGGCCGGGCAGATTTTGACATTTTGGGCTACTATCAAAATCGAGTACCAGCTGCTCGATCTAGAATTATAGCGTGAGCCCGACCTTCAAACAATCCCTCTAAAAGGAGAGAATCGGCGCACAAATCACTGGAGCCTCGAGGACCACGCCTACTCTCTCGCACGGCCAACCCCCTCGAACGAAATCTTCTCAGCCGTTGACGCGTTCTCACGTGGCAAACACAATCGATCACATACTGTTTTACCTGTTAATTCTTGCTTTCGGCAAGGATAGCATGGGGCAGTCGTCCACGGCCCACATGATAGGCCTAAAAAGGAATTTCTTGAGAGAATAACGCTTATTAAATGCCATCACCTATATATATAAAACTCAAAAATTGTCAGTTTGGAGGGTATGTGCGTTATAGAAACGCACGCCACTCAACCGATTCAGCTGAAACTTTGCACACATATGTTTTCGACCCTTGCGCAGATGATAGGCTACTTTTTGCGGCGATTCGTTGCGTCCTTCTATCGATTTATTGATTTGTTTACATTTTCCTAAGGAATTGAAGGGTTATCATGTTCAATCAAGCATTTTCCATACTCATGTAAAGGAGGGCGGTGAAGCTCATTTTCACCTCAGGATCACGAGGATGCGGTTTCCAAGTGGATGTCCCAGGGTAAGTCATCCATACCATATAGGGCGGGAGGAGGGGGGGGGGGGGGGATGGCTCGCAGTGCAATGAACCATGGCCCGGGCTGGACCGGGAAAGCCAACTAGTAACTTATAATAACGGGCTAAGGATGTTTACGTGTTTGTGTGTATGTGTGTCTGTCTGTCTGTCACGAAATTCGTGGAAGGGTTGCCAGCCAACATCTTAAGCCCAAATCTTGCACAGCGCATGCTACCAACATGAGAGTCCACTACATCAAAGCTTGAGCGGATCCGTTTAGCGGATCCCTCAAAAAATGCGCGTCAATCGGACCCACCTGGCCTTTCGTCCCCAAAATTGAGGTCCGTAATTCCACTTTTTGCAGGCTCGTGGATGTTTATGGCAAGTAAATGTGCAAACCATTTACTTAGGCCCAAAAAATTGATCAAAAGTCCACTACTTTACAAAAACGGCGCCAAAAAGTATTGGTTGCGTAAATGGTCATTTTGCCAAGCTTTTACCAGAGCATTTGATGAGATTTTTGCACCTAAATGTAGCTTATGGTGACTACTGTTCTTATGGCGACTGTCAAGACTGTGGGAAAATCAAAAACATACAAAATTTTGCTTTGTTCTCCTGCAAAGAAATTTCATTCACGCGAAATCACCGATTTCACATGAAAAAGCTTTCGGAATAAGTAGTTGTTTACATTTTGTTCATGATAGTAGGCATTGCTCGGTGAGTTTAAATGCCATCATTATGCGAGAATGAGTAGGGCCTGGATAGTAGAACCAGTGCGAGCCTCTGCGAAGCAAAGGTGACGCACTGGTATTTGAAATAAGCGCCATGGAAAGGCCTGGATAAGGCAAGAAATGGAAGTCCAGCAGCTGCCCGGTCTCTGCCCTTGGGCGCGAAAACGGCGAAAATTGGCACTCCCGCGGCCCTTCATTTTGAATTTGGACGGGTATAGGAACAAATAATCATATTAGGCACCGCCTCCACTGACTACTGGTCCTAACGCGATATACAACAGCGGAGCTATAGGACCGGTAGTCGGAAACGGTGCATAATTGAGGCATTTGTTCCTCTACCCAATCTGGACGAGTGGAACAGTTCACCTCAAGGTTGCAGATGCAGGCTCGTTCTGGGCTCTGCTGGTTCCAACATCGCAGCATGCTATCATTGACCGATCGATGATTCCTGATACCCATGTCATATGACGTCATAACCGAGTGGGCGGGCCATGTCTGCCATGCGTCCACCTGGGAGGTCTCACCTCACTCTTGATCATACGTTGACCATCCAAAGTCACAATCTCACGCTCTCGGTTACAGTAATCCCAATAAACCACTGCACCACCATTCTTGTTGTCTACTTTACAGTATTACATTGCATACCGAAGCAAAACCCCTCGAAGAGTCTACATCCGCTAATACATGCCGCCTTCGACTTTTAGAAAGAAATTGCGAGCTCGTCTGAGCGCGTGTAAGATCGGCTTGTGCGCACAGGTTTGAAAGCGTTTTCTTGGCAGGGGCAGCATGCTCTGCGCTCGGACTTGCTCTGCTTTCATATTTGGGGTGTAGGCAATCTCATATCAATTCTCCGAAATGTTTCATTTATCGAGTGTTTTCTACCTAATGAAGGTGACCGCCTACACTCCCTCGCGGCAATAGTTCGCGCAAGTCGCTGTTCAAGATATTGCGCGCATCAAGTTTTACACAACTGTCTGCATTCTGCAAAGGTCTTAGGTGCTTAATGATACAAACTAGGGAAGTTTTCGAACATTGAAAGAAGCTATGGCAAAATGCGAATGAATTTTGTTGTTAGCTCTCAAAGCTCTTAGTTTTAAAGCAGTAACAGCAAGTTCTCGACCTTCGCACTTCGATTACCTCATCCGTTAGGTCCCTGGGACGGAGTCGGCAGGCGAGCGGGAAGGAGAGCGGAGGATGAAAATTAAAAGGAAAATCAACCTATAGGAGGTATCAAACGCAGAGTCGCTTGCATCAGCATCTCCACTCCCGCACTGAACTCTGCATCTCTTCCGCGAACATGTTCTCTAGTCACTTTTCCAGCGCGAGCGTGGGAAAGGCGGAGCTTCAACAACGCAGAATCTAGCGCTGGAATGGAGAGCTGATGTAAGGGACACTGCATTTGATAAGCCCTGTACATTGCCGTATTTTAGGGGGGGGGGGGAGGGAGATTCCTTTTTAGAGGGCGCTGACCTATAGAGTGGGAGGGCTTCCAGTCCTCTACTTCATATCCCCAAGATTACGATTGCCTGCTACCGCCTCTAATGCATTCATATCTTTGGCAAGCTGGCAGTAATGTAGAGCTTCGTAGACTCACTGCGACCCGACAAAGAAATTTCGTATATTCATGTAGCATCTGATTATGGTTTACAAAATCGATGGATGAGGCTTTAGATAAGTACGCAATACTTGAATACTCATGTGGAACCACTTCAGAAGTTAACTAATGAGTGTGGATTCTCATAGGAAAAACGCCCTCTCAAGCCGTGCAGGAGCTGATCGTGAAAAAGCAGGATAGGAAGGAGAAGGGGGGGGGGGAGACTTGCAAACAGTAACGCGGGTTCCACGAAACACATTCTGGTTCAACCTGCGCCGTTTCCAGGGAAAAAAAACAGCATCCAAGACCGTCCAAGAGTGGTGAAACGGCCACTGCGAACACTCACAGAAACCGAAAAATTATGCGAAAACGTATCCGTCGAAATCCTTTGAGAAGCTTGATAATGTTTTAGACCCCATCATCGGACGCGCAACACTATCCAACTGACTGAAGCAGAACCTCGCAATGAAGGTTCACAAAATGCAAAATACGTATTTCGGTACAAGAAGCTGAACCGATTTTGTGAATGTCGTCAACAAGTAAAATTTCTCCAAGGGACGCCATGTGTTGCATAATCTGACCAAGTATGATGAAGTAAGAGACGCAGACAGGAAAGCAGAACTAAACTACGTATAATGACAAATCTATTCTACTCTTACTCAAAAGACGAAAATAGACTTAAAGGCGGCGTCCCGGCGGAATTTCGCTTTCCAGTTCTTTACCTATTCGGAGCCTTCTCGCCATGAGGAACCCATATCTGGACTTTTCAGCGCATAAAAATGGCGAATATCAGTCTTTTCTGAAACTTTCCGGGTCAGCCTTTAGTGGGGGGGGGGGGAGGGGGGAAGTGGGTGGAGCCCGTAACGAAAAAGGCGGAGCGCAGCTCTGTCAGGCGTATCTTCACTGAACTGCGGACCCAAAAAGCTTTGGAAAGAGCGCATTTTTGCCATTTTCATGCGTTGAAAAGGCCAGATTTGGGTTTCTCATGGCGAGAAGGCTCCGAAAAGGTGAAGAACTGGAAAACGAAATTCTACCCAGCCGCTGTCTTTAAGACCAGCACAACGCAGCAAAAAAACTCAAATCCTCTTTGAGAAACCCCCCCCCCCGAAAGACTCGGATTGCCACTGCTATCCACGATGAATTAGAAAAGAGCGGATATTTTGAAATTCACTACTACCCGTCGAAATCCGTGATTAGCAGAATGAATTTGTGCCAAGAATGATCTTCAATCTATTTGAAAGTTGTCCACGTTTGGAAGTTTTCGGTGTCATAACAGAGGTTTTGATTAAATTATTTATTTTATAATGTTTTCGCCTTCGATGAAGTTTTTTTCTTATCTTTGCAACAATTAACTTAAAGTTTTCTTTCACGAGTTTTGAACGTCCACATCCGCCTGCGTAGAAGCTGTCAAGATATCCAACATCAGATCATCCGCATTTACGTAATCGCCACCAGTGGCGGTAGGAGGTGAAGCGGCGCCTTTAGGGGCATCTGGGGGCACTTCAACTGGAGTAGGCGCTGAATGCAATGCTTCAGCTGATAGTTTCTCGTGTCCATTCTTCTTTTCCTCTCCCGAAGTCTTTAAAGTCTCCTGCAAGATATTTTTTACTGATTAAAGAGATCCGTATTTGGATTTGAGACTTCAAAACATACTTTTTTGGCTTTTGTTCGACGTTTTTTAGGTTTACGTTCATGGCTTCTTCTTCGCTGAAAATTAATATTAGGTTGTCCCGAAAGTTTTGTCCGTTTTTTCAACCTATCATAAAAACACGAGGAATGAAGATAGGGAAACGCTCCAAGCACCACCCGACGCATTTTTTCCTCCTCTTTCTAACTGTCAAGATCCCATGCCGATTACTCTTTTGCTCACTGAGATAAACGTCGAAATAACCCATGGTTTAATTTTTCACAGTCTTCATATTTGACTTTCGGAAAAGCTGTGGTAGCAGTTAGATAGAGCAAACAAAGGGCAATACAATGCGATTTTGCGGCATCTATAGCTAGCCTTGAAAATTTTTTAGAATTATTTTTCCGATGCTATCAAATTCCACTTTTGGTGATGCCAAAAGCCAGACATCATGAAACAACGCACAACTAAGGTGTTATTCGATGCAGCTTTTCCTCCTTTTCCAGTGAGTTATTTTCCCTCCAATTTGTGGGGTCTCTAGCGATAAAATTTCCATAATTTTTGAATTTGACCTCCCCCAGCGTATACTGTAAAATGCGAAATCTTATATTTTAGAGCGGTAAACGCTCAGTTGCTCTGTAAAAACAGTGAATAATCGTAGTTGTTTCTTGAAAGCTTCAATATCCGATGATTTGTTAGTGTTCGAGGCGTTTCTGTATTTTGGGACTTCGCAAAAGTGAAGACTTTTGAAAAAATTATCTTAAAAAATACTGAAAAGCCAGCTGGATAAGCTAAAAAATTGCATTGCATTGCCCTTTGTTTACTCTATCTGAGCGCTATCAAAGGTCTTCCAAAAGTTGAAAATGAAGATTGTGAAAAATTGCCAAAGTTGGACAAGTAAAAACCACGGGCGTTTATTTCAGTGAGCAAAAGAGTAATCGGCATGGGATCATGACAGTTAGAAAGACGGGGAAAAGCTGCGTCGGATAGTACCTAAAACGTTTCCCTACCTTCATTCCTCGTGTTTTTATGATAGGTTGAAAAAAAAAACGGACAAAACTTTCGGGACAACCTAACAGTTTTAACTTTTCTATTTTTCGCCTGTTTTCTGTTTTTCTTTTACGTCTTTTTTCTGAGATAGTCTTAGAGCTGATGAAAAGGACATCGAACAAATCGCCCTTTTTGAAGCAATGCACTGCTGACGCAGCTGGATATGAGCTATGCACAGACGCTTTAGAAACGCTTCTGTATCAGCCTTGGAACCTTGAAGGCTGTCGTGCGTGGGGAAATGCCTGAAGGATATGGCAGCATGCAGCAGACGATCTATGGCTTTGACCAGGCTTTACCCGTGTTACCCTCTTACCGGTGTTACCAGTGTTACTCGTGTTACTCGTGTTACCGTGTTACTAGTGTTAATCATATTACTAGTATTATAGTGTTACCGCTTTTATTGCTGTTGAGTATTGAAAGAATCACAAATACAGTTTCATTTCAAAAGGTAATTTCATTGACTGGTGAGTAACACGAGCAACATTGGTAACACCCGTAACACGAGTGACACGAGTAATACGAGTAACACCGGTAACACGGGTAACATGGGTAAAGTGTGGCCAAAGCCTAAGAGAAGCGGTTGCAAGAACCCACCAAGCTGGACGAACCGGAGATACACTGTTAGTCAAGTGAAAAGGTAAGTCGTTTTCAATACGTATTGGTCTTTTCTAACGTATGCCTTCCAGCCTCAACATGACGTGGATTGTTGAGGCGCAGCATCGCTTCGGGCGTGCGCCACGTTGCTTTCTTCACCATGCCACGTCAAACGAGCGTCCGCTGCGTGGCGCAGGCCCCAAGCGAGGCGGCGCCGCACAAACCCACGTCATGTTGAGGCTGGAAGGCATACGGTAGAAAAGTCCAATCGTATTGAATACGACTGCACTTTATCGGTGAACTGACTACAGATCGAATTTGACTCATCAATCTGCATCAAGAAACAGGACTGTAAAAAAAGACCAACTCCGGGCTTTTCACGGATCTGTCATATTCAAAGTAGTTTAGCTTCAGCATGATAAGTAAAATGGCATTCTTCATGCTGTCAAATATAGGTCAATGTGCCTTGATAGACAAGAATTCGAAGTTTTAGAAAGCTTTGTTGAGTTCCCTTCCGAAAGATCATTGATTAGAAATTGTGAAAAACGACAGTAAACAGACCTTTCTACGATGTTTGATTTCGGCCAATTCTAAAAGCCTCTTCTTTTCTCGCGATCTTTGCAGACATACAAGGAGGATCAGGAAAAGCACTCCGAACACTGCGCTACCAATTCCAGCAAAGATCAAATACTTATTAATCCTGGCTTCTTTCCTTTCTTCACTAAACCAGCTATTTTGCAGGACGGTGATCCAAGTCTGTTTTTTCAAAACTGACGGATTTGCTCGACTTGTCAACGTTGTATTAGCTGGAATGAGGTGTTCGACTCAAATAAGCAACGCCTTGATGCTAACACACCAGTATTGGGCCCACCACCCACAGTTATCCGCATTGTAAAAAGTGCCATACTCTTTCTTTTCCCTACTTCCATACTCTAATTCTACGTAGATGTTTACTCAAACTACTTTCTTTCCCTGACGCAGTCAATTTCATTTTTAGTTTTGAAGATTTAGCTGGTGGTAAGCTTCCTTTTACAACTGTAGATGCTACAATGCAATCGCGTCTTGAAGATGTCTATCACGAGGAATTCCTCACAAGCAGATACCTCAACTTACCTAAGTACAGGTGGATGAAGCATTACAAGTACCTTGGTTAAAATCTCGATTTACAGGCTCGACAAACAAAAAATCGGTGTCCCACTTCACTCTACAGTTGCAGTCAGTTGTTCATGTAAATTCCATGATACTGCGCGCTTTTATACTTTGACACTTCTAGGCAAAAAAGGCATGACATAATCAATGAAGGTTCTGATTATTCGACAGCAATCATAATCGGGGCAGCAATAGTGATTTTCATTCTCGCTGTTATTATTGCATTCTTCATCATGTGGATGCAGAGAAAAAACCATAGGAGAAAGTTGTTGTTGGCAGCTGAACTAGAGAAAGAGGAGGAGGAGAGAAGAAAAGGACGGCTTGCAAGAAGAAAGGTTTGTGGAAAAAACACTGTCAAAAAGGTTAAGTGGAGACACACTTTTATAGCTCAAACCAAAGAAAACGCCAAGAAAGAAGAAGAAAAAGGGCACTTCAGAACTAAGAAAATCTAGTAAGCCAAAAACCAGAGAGGAGGTGAGCTAAAGTTGATGACTTTTGTAGGGAGGTTTTTCATATTTCAGATGATGATAGAGCTCTCGAACTTTTTGGAAACGCACTCAAAGGATTATTATACTAAAAAGGAGCCGACTGTGGGATCTGCTGAACCAACTCCTTCAGCGACACCAACCGCAACTCCGGGACTGTTGAGCAGTGAGGCGGACGTCTCTTTTGCAGTAGACTTACGTTTGCCAAACCGGTCATCGGAAGGTACAGAATATCTTCGGAATTCCGAGCAGCAATCCACGCCCGAGGTGTATGAAAAGGAAGTAGTCTATCGTACGCTTTCGACTGAATGGGGTGGGAAAAGGGGAAAGAAGTCGGAAGCACCATCAACTCCTGCGACACCTAGCAGTAAATCTGCCTCGGCATTTCGTGCGACACCTAGCAGTAACTCTGCTTCGGCATCCCCAAATGTCATTAACGGTTCAAGACAATCCACACCTACCGCGATCGAACATAAGGAGTCAAAAGAAAACAAATCTCGCGAGCTAAGGTCTTGGGATTTGGAAAGCGCAGAAAAAGAAGGATACTCAGAAGATAGAGGTTTAGAGCCGTGGGAGGCAGAAAAGCAGCCTTCAGAGAAAGCTGAGAAAGAAGATGAGGGTTTGCATAAATCTTCGCAAGAGAATGTAGCTTCCAAAAAGCCAGCAGAATGAAAAGCGAAAATGTTTTTTATAATCAAGAAATTTCCAAATTACAACATGCAAGACGAATTATAATCAATAAATTTTATTATTAATCACCTCTAGTAAGGCTGAAATGAAGCGCCCTCAAAATTTGAAGAGACATTATATTGCTGGAGGAAATGAGGGAAGAATGAATAAGATAAGGGACAAGCAAAAAGGAAGTGCAACCTACTTGTCGACACGTTGACGACCGCGCACTTAATCGCATGCACGTTTTCTAAATGTAAACAAAAAGCTCTACTTTGCGTAATAATATGGTGGTCTGGTTGTCATATAGAACACTGAGCACTGCGAAAGCGTCGGAAAGCTCACACAGTAAATTTAGGTAATCCCATTTTTGATGTGGTAAATATATGCTAATTACATTTTGAAGCGAAAACTTGTATATGTGTTCTGAAAGCAATCAAGATTAAAATCAGCGAAAACCACCGAATATTATGACGCTTTCCTCAAAAAACCTCCAGACATAGCATATGCAGGTTATTTGAGGGGAAAACAATGCAAAAGTCTTAATAGGTGTAATTTGGGTAAGACTGAGTGAGATACATGTATGAAAAAATTCTGATTCATAAATGAGCACCAAAAAGACTCCCACACTGATTTCGTGCATACGCGCGTATGCACGCACTAGGAAAAACATCGGTGGGAGTCCCGCTGAGAATGTAACTGTCCAATTAATTTTTTCACAGCACTGGGCGATTACTTTTGATGAGGCTCCTCCTTATATCTGTGTTTGTTTTGTTTTAAATACGCTACTGACGACTTTCGATCTTATCACCTCTCCGCTTAATGTGCTGCCAACCACAGAACACGACTAATTAGTATAGGGGCCTGCAGGATCGCGAGTGTCAGACGTGCGTGCCATTGCGCCGTGCACGTCCGATGTCACTAAGGCAGCAGGTGCTAGACTTATCCGCTTCAGCCGGTTCGTTCGGTTCATAGGTCAAATCACTACACTGTCCAACAAAAGGTGGTGAACCGAATGAACCTGTTCAACAGGATAAGCCTGGCGCCTACCTGAATCGTCAGATGCAATCTAACGTGGGCGGCGCAATGGCCGTACGCACGTCCGACTCTCGCGATCCTGCAGGCCCCTATAATTAGACCTTCTGCAGAAAAAACGATTAGTTACGCAGTTAGAAGATCTAAATGATTTACAGTCTAGTAGATTTTCCGCTTGATAGTGTGTTTACGGTGCGAGAAATCGGTAAAATTTGCGCATGAACAAATAGCCACGCCAGTAGTGGCAGTATTTTACTCGTGCAAGTGGCAAATCTCTAATGCTGCAGCAAGAATGTGGATCTAATTTACGATTGGGTGTGCAAGAAACGGTTTGGAAATCTAGGCACTTTCTCCTAAATTTGAGAATTGGCGGAGAACGCATAATTGAAAATCCGTTGCAAAAAGTGACAAAACGAGGAAATTGCTCCAAAAATGTGGCAGAGGTCAACACGCCCATCAAAATTGGGTCGTCTGAAAGTACAGAGCCTGAAACTGATTGTGAGCTCTCGACCTAGAAATGTTGCAATGTCAATCATGATCCAGCTAATCGAAGCCCTAAGGTAAATCTAAGAGTTCTCTACTTTCAGCCCACCCACGATCATGGGAGTGTCGTATTCCGCCGCATCTTCCTTTTAGAGAACGTTTCTCCAAAATTCACCCTTTGCAGAGAGGAGCAGTTACTTAGTAGGTAATTCCTCGATCGCAGCGCATCAAAATCACCTATATGAAATTTGGGTGAACGATGCCTTCAAAAAATATGATAGCCGGCCGGACATGCAGTTTCCGTAAAATGACGAAAACTTTTTTCGATTACGGACGACGAACAACCGCTTTTAGCAACTACTCAGACACTGGGAGCGGACGAGCCGCGGCCTCAAAAGACCTTCCCGGGCCGCCCTGGGGGCGTGGCTGGGATGCGGCCAACCCGCGGTCCTTCGTTCATGTCATTATCATTGCGCCGAGCCGCGGGAGGAAATGGGCTCACCGGCTCAGCCGCGGCCTCAAGATGGGGCGGGGCATTGCAGCGGCTGAGCCGCGGACCAAAATCCATGTAAGAATCCCGGTCGAGCCGCGGCCCATGTCAAATGAAGGCCACGGCTCCGTCGCTCGGATTGTTCAAGCGTAATGGATATTTGCGTTATGTACGTCGCATGGTCAGACTGCCCTCAATGTCCAGAGCTTTGGATGTCTTTCCAGTCTCCCAGGCAGGAACAAGATCAATATGTTGTTTTGTAAACAACACTAGATAGCCTATTGGTGTTACCCAATTCTGAATCGGACTTGGTTTCCGAAGCCGCTGTTTCGGTGGCTCTATTTTTTGTTTTCTTACTGTGTATTCTTATGTGCCATGGTAGATCAGGGCCCAAGTAGGCCGAGCTGGAATGAAACACGGTCGACCCAACAACCAGCTGCGGCTGAGCCGAGGCCTACTTCCCGGCCGGGCCGCGGGAGCTGCAAAATTCCAGCAGGAAAAGGACCGCGGCTTGTCCGCTCCCAATGTCTGAGTACCCAATGATGTTACCAATCGCAAGGTGGGCGGGGCCAGTGATGGGAGCTGTGAGCCGAGATGGAAGCGCTGCTTTTCGCGTTGGACTCCCGGAGGTTAGAAACGGCAGCGAGAATTCAAACCCAAGCTATAGCATTATGAGGGCTTCTACTGTGTGGCCTTGTTTCCAGTGTTCTCATTCTCGAGCCACTGCCTTTGAAGGCAGCTTCCACCCAAAGTCTCGCCTCCCATGTTTTTGTCATTCTGGCTTTTACGTGGCCTTGATTACAGTTATGACGTTTAAAATCGTCCAAAACCCTCAAGAAACCCTATTCTTGGGACCCTCTCTTCAAGGAACGGATGAGTTCCGGACTGCTCGTCCCCGTCGGCATGCCAGCGGAAAGGAGCTGCAATTGCGTGGGTGCAGTTGCACTGCAGTGTGCAGCGTGCAGCTTCTGCTCACGACCATGTCATTACGTGTCGAGAATGGAATGACAGAGTAAATATACAATAAAATCATTATTTTAGGTCAAGTTTGATATTGATAGAAATTATTATTCTAAATTATATTATTAGAAATTATATTATTATTAGCTAAAGTATTGTCAAGCAGTCAGTGCCAGGAAAATATGACTCTGTGGAGTTTGGCCCCTTGCTCGCCCTTAAAAAACGAATATCGCTACAAGTCAGAAGCAGCGTACAAACAATTCCTGACTTCCGTTCTAATCTTATTCAGTGGTTTATGAAGTTGATTTCAATTGTGGCACTGCACTTTCAATAGTTAGTTCGTGCAAACCGTGGACCGATGTGAATGGTTCAACGATAGCCCCGTTGAAGGCATGACCATATTAAACACTAGCGTTTGATTGTGCTTGCCAGGCGATAACGCGTCAAGAGCTAAGAATATCCCGTTCATGAGCGGCCACCGTAAGGGCAGTGTCCGGGCAAACACTCGATTTTGAGATTTTGTGCTTACCCGGGCCTATTCGTTATGCTGAATCCGAAAATCCACATTGAAGGGCGCAAAAACGACGAAAAAGGGCTCTAACACTGGAGGGGAATCAGCAAGTAGGCGGGGTCTTCCCCACTGTGAATTCATGCTTCCAGCTTCCAGAGCAATTTTCTCGAATCCGTTAGCCGCCCCGACATCACTACCAATCAAGTACAAACGAATGACTTGAAACCGGAATCAAAAAGATCGCCCCGGAAGCTGGGAGCGTGAATTCACAGTGGGGAAGACCCCGCCCACTTGCTGATTTCCCTCCAATGTTAGAGCCCTTTTTCGTCGTTTTTGCGCCCTTCAATGTGGATTTTCAGATTCAGCATAGCGAATAGGCCCGGGTAAGCACAAAATCTCAAAATCGAGTTTTTGCCCGGACACTGCCTTTAAGAAATTGGGCACCAATTTCTATTTCTTGGTTGAAGTGCTAGTACTCAATGATAGTAGCCAAGGAAGTTTAAATCTACTCAGACGCTCCTTGGCACGCAAGCAAAATCTCAGGAAGTTGCTATCGGCTGCATGAAATCGCCCACAGCCGTAGAGTGAACGTAGAGCGTTTCCTGGCGCGGATACCGAGATGGCTTGCGCGTTACTCTTACAGGGGAAAGATACTTTGTCAAAGTGGCGTTTCCGTATGAGATGTCTACTATTAGGTCGGAAATTTCCCGGGCATTTGCGAAAGTTTTTCAAATCGCTGTAACCTGCAGATTGATCCTATTTTGAAACTACAAACTTTATTGCAAGGACAATCTTGTTACAACATATAATTTATTACTGGCTTTTCAGCACCTCAGTGCGTTGCACCAACATGCGTCGTGGCTACTTTTTCTGCTATTGTGGACTCGCTCGATACTTTAGCTTTAGTGTCGGACGGATATAGCAGTTTCTCTTAGTCGTGATAGATTATGGCAGTGTTTTGCTATTGTGCGTTTCTTTTGTTACTAACCGCTTATTTATGGAGGGGTCACTTCGTCCTACTCTATATCGATTTTTTTGGATTGTGGATCTTTTTATCAAGGACATTTCTACTTGAAATTTGTCAGGTCTGTTCAAGGCTTGGGGAGTTAGATTGGTGGATACCTAGCTAAACCAATACCCTCGCTTAAACCACTCCGATTATCCTTGAGCGATAGCGTTCCCACTGCTATTCACCTGGCATTCCTCATAGTCGTATAATTTACTCGCATTTGAATGCATCTTTTTTCGTTGTTGTGAGTACACTGTCCCGTACCTTCTTTTGCTTAACTCATTGAAGTACGAGCTTTCTTTGTTGTTCTTCGAATGTCTAGGACGACTGGCCCCACGCTAACAATTTTCATGCTTTAAATGGTACACCTTGAGTGTAAAGATAACGATAAAGATTAAAAAAGGGGAAAAGGTTGTCGCGAAAAGTGGCCTATTTGTGCAAGATTATCTCAAGCACGATGAAAGCTGGAGAGCTCAAATGCTGTAATTATATAGAAGTCTACTGGGGCTGTTATGAAGACTAATTAACTTTGAGCGACCACATGCAAAGAAAGTTTCCAGAAAGTTTGAAAAATCGATCATTTTTTGCCCTCAAAAATGCACTATTTTTCGAATAACTGACTTTGAAGTCTTGTCGTTCTGCGTAAGGTGGACCAAATCTTTCATTACTGCGAATATAGTTGTAATGCCTTTGGACCCATCATCCAGGGGTGGCGATCCCCGCAGAAACAACGCCAGCTGCGAAAAGAGTTGCAGTCAGAGGCAAATTCGACAGCTTGTAATTTCTGAGCGTAATCGCAAAACTCGAGCTGCGGGTCAGTAGTCTGCGGGTGCAGCTGCGGGTCAGTAGACAATGGCCTCTTAATCAGAACACCCATGATTTGGCGAAATTCTTTGAACTGCACAAAAAATTTAGGAAGGAAAATTGTGAAAATTTTCATGATTTGAAAGATTTCTCTTCTTGATGTGCGGATCAAACACGTCTCGACATCGATAATAATTAGAAGCCGTACTGAAAACTTTGGGCTTCCTTCCACTGAACAAAATAAAAACTTGGTGTCAAAGTCCGACCAAGTCCGAAAAAATGCGTTTGATGAAATTTTCAAAAGCGCTCGGAACTTTCTTTGCGACCTAATATCTTATAGGGCATGGATCTGCCGATGAGACACCTGATCGGCTATAGTACGTTGACGTAACAATCAACAAAGTCATTGCGCGTTGTTTTCGTGAATGTCGTCAAGTTCTTCACTCTAATTTCACAAGTACAAGACGCAACTTTTTTGATTTTTCAAGCGAACCGCTCAGTCGCCTCGTTCTGTAAGGTGGTGATCGCGTAGATAGTCGATATGGCAAGGTTTTATCCTGAAATTTGAAAAGATTTTTGCACGAAAATATAGTTTTAATTGACTGTTATCCTTATAACGACTACCAAGCCAAAACAAATTTAGTAATCCATTCAAATTCGCATTGGTTCCTTTGCGAAAATGTTTTTCTTCTTAAAATTACCGATACGTGGAAATGCTTCAAGGGTGAACAGTTGTTTACGATTCATTTGTGATCTTTGGCATCGCGTGGTGAGTTAAAGTAATCATTATGCGAACTTGAGAAAGGCATACGAATAGGAGAGCCAATGCGAACCTTTGCGAAGCGGAGGTGACGCACTGGTACGTAATGACTTTGTTATATGTTAACTCAACGAATGATAGCCGACCAGAACTCTAGAGAATGCAAAAAGAACATCACAGATTTAGCCGTCATAACTTAGTGTGCAAGTACGGTCCAGCAGGCTTTACGGCATCATCCGGAAACTCTCATTTCCGTGCATTTGCACGGAAATGAGAATTGTCGTTGTCTATTTATAGACAAACAACGCGAATTATATCTTGTTAAAAAATTTTTTGCTTCTAGAACATTATAAAATACAAAAAATGCACCAATTGGTGTCTACCCGGCCATAGAAATCGTGTCTTTTGACATACACACGCGCTGGTTTTACTATCTATATGCATTCCTTCTGCTCGCATAAGGATGGATTTGAACATGCGCAACGCATACCATCACGATTGAGTTGTAAAAAACTAATTCCAAAAGCTTTCATGAGAAAGCTTCCAAGCTTTCCCATGAAAGGTCTCCTGCATAAAAAAATGCGAATTTCAAAAAAAAAACACTGAGTCATGATCTGATGATCACCATAAGCACATTAACTGTCGTGTGAAGCAGCTCTGAGCATCCATACATATATAGAACTCAACGTTTTTCTGTAAGTTGCTAAAGATGTTTGTGTTTTATAGAAATCTTTATGAGTTGACCGATTGAGCAGAGTTTTACTCTCATATAAAAAATCCATGTCGCAGAACATAGGCTACTTTTTGCGACAATTCGTTGGGTCCCTCTACGGATTAATTAATTTGTTTACGTACATGTGGGAAAATGAAAGGCTATCACACCATTTCATGACTTGCTCTATAGTGACTACAGCTCATTCTTTATCTTGGCAAAAGGAACTTGGTGAAGGAAATCCCAGATAGGCTTTTGCTGCAATCTAATGTAAAAAGAAGTACAACCTTGCACAAAAGCGGTTTTCAGGTTAGACGGGACAATACGATGCGTTGAGTTTGAGCCAACATCTCAACTAACAACTGAGATGTTGACTCAAACTAAGAGTTGATTCAGCTGCTTAGCTCACGTGGGTCGATGGTTTGTATGGTCCTGGACCTTAGGTTCAGGACCGCACAGAGACGGTCGGCTTATAGTGATAATCACCATGAATGTTGCCGTTGTGGACATTGTTTTAACAAGATTGAGTTTGTTCTTTCCTGTTTCCGAAGAGTTAACAAACCTAGACAAGATAAATAACGAGTTTAAACTTGCTAAGTATGCGATTAGTCTTGTTTAGACAATGTGTGCAATGCGGTCTCGCGTCTCCTAGTCCTAAAATGAATGATACACCGGTGACTACCGGTCAAAATTAGCAGTATATGGAAGCTTGAACAAGCTCTGCATCAATTGCGAGGACGCATAGCAACTGAATTTTCTGTTGAAATATGCAAATTCTTGGGTGGCGAGCAAGAGGAACGATGGCTGGTGGTTGTCAATAACTCGCGCATACTTCACCGTCATTTTTGTCCATCTGCACGCAGAAATTTAGAACATTTCCTTTTTTTATGCTTTCATCTAGACAGGAGAATCGTATAGATTGTGTTTGCTTGAAAATGGGGTGTGAAAATCAGCTGAAAATGTCAAAAATGGTCTCAAAGGTGAAACTTCAAGTATTTTAAGCTTGTTCCTGCAATAAATCATCAAATTACACATACCACCGGGATTTAAGCAAGACTTATCAAGTAAGTTGAGTAGAGCATTAATTTTACATCTACTATTTTTATAAGTTCGCAATTTGCGAGTCGCGAAGGCAAATAGTGCATTGGCACCAACGGCTAGCAATTGCTATCGTTCCTCTTTCACCACACCCAAACTTCTTGCTATTATTTGTATACCAGAGCGCTTTAAAATGAAAGTGTAAGACAAAATAAAGATAAACATAATGGGAACTCTAACTTTTACTTTTGAAAGTGTTTTATTTTTAATGTGCAACAACCTTGAAGAAAGAGAAAGAAGTCAGATTGCACTGTTAAGCATTTTCCTAATTTTTTCACCGCTGCATTATATGCTTTTCTAGATAACTTTCAAATAAAATCGCTTTGGAGTAAAGCTTTTTCTCTAATTTTTCTATGATTTGCAAATAAACTCAATTATAGTTATGTTCTTGCATGTCCCACATATCTGCAAAGATGATGGATGACATAATCCCGGGCAAGACCGAATACATCAGCTAGTTTTTATATTTTTCAGGTAAAACTTTAATGGTTTGATCAATCACTCAGACAATCGCCGGGGGCAGGCGGGCACCGGAAAATACACGTTGCTGAAATCTCGCATTCCGCTCGCAAATTCCAGGAGAATGGTCAGCGGGTTTTTGAGAGACCGCCTGTTGAGTCTTTTTTCGCTCTTATCTTTTGCAGATATATCGCTGAATCTCTGAGGAATCGAGAACTCAACAAGCGGCGTTCTACTTTCACAAAAATGGTCTTGTTGAACTAGCTGTTTAAGCGTCCCTGGTTCGCAAATTTGCTTCTCAAACGAATTGTGACTCTACAGAAGTCTAAATGCCGGCCCTTTTGAGGGCCCGCGTGCATCCGTTGACAATTTTCGAAGCAGCTTATCTGGCTTGTTCTTATGCCAGTTCTTAAGCCCTAGGCACCTCTCACGATTTTAATCACCACGCGATTTGGCCATTTGCCAGATCTCTCCATACCAACACTCACAAACCACAAATGCCTGGTGCAATAAATGTGCTTTTTCCGTGCTCTCAATTTGAGTTTGCTAGGAGTTATAGGCACGGTATTGTCGGTCGCGTCACGACTGAAATCGCGTGAGGTGCCCGGGGCCTTACGATATCAGCCCACTTGCTGATAGCGTGCATTGAGGCCTTCGCAGTAACTTGTTCTATCTTTCAATACACTTACTTACACACAAAAGGAGATCGATCTAGCGTGTTTTTGTGGATTAGCATTCCTAGGACTCCTTGTAGCTGAAGTACATTTAGAGCTTTTCAAAAAAGGGAAAAAAGCTCATCTTTGAGAACGGATAATTTTAAGGCGTTGATACAGGCTCGATTTGTTTATTCAAACGCTTGAATTGATTTAAGAAACTCAACTCTTCGTTGAAACTTTTTTCAAAAGCACACCTTGTACACCCCTTTTCATCAAATTAGGTTGGAAGATTCTGAAACATGAAGGCCATCTACATTTGTCGCATGGTATGGCGTTAGCTACGCGAAAAGTTCAAAACAGTCACTAAGAAATCAAACTTTGCAAAATGTATCACAGTAATGTTGTTAAAATTTATTTATTTTGAATGTTTTCGCCTTTAATGAAGTTTTTTTTTCTGATTTCCAAAAATGATTCTCTTGAAACATTCTTGCTTCAAGAGCTTTGAATGTCCATGTCTGCTTGTGCAGAAGCTGTCAGTGTATCCAAGATCAGATCAGCTGCATCCACGTAGTCACCACCGGTGGCGGTAGGAGGTGAAACGGCGGCTTTAGGTGCATCTGGCGTCACGTCATCTGGAACAGGCGCTGAATGTAATGCTTCAGCTGACAATTTCTCGTGTCCATTTTTCTTTTCTTCCCTAGCTGTAGAAATTTTTACAGTTTCCTGCAAGGAATTGTTTAAGATCAAAGAGTGTGTCTAGGCGACAAACTTTGGAACATACTTTTTTAGCTTTTGTTCGACGTTTTTTATTTTTTCGTTTATGGCCTCTTCTTCGCTGAAAATTCATAGTTTATAACCTTTTCGTTGTTTCTTTGTTTTCTGTTTTCTGATCTTTCCGATCTATTTTTAAATTTTTTTATTTCGCTTGTAGCCTCTTCTACACATATAGACACCAAATGTTGCTAGATGCTAGATGTGTTGGAGTGTTTATTATAGAAAATTTTGTGTGTGGTGGACCAATTGGCGCCAAACTAACATATGTTATTTATGATGTTATTTTAGGCTACTTTTCGCGTCAATGTTCCCACTCTTTCCATTGATTATGTGTTTTCGGCATTTTCTGATAAAAATGAGTCCTTATCAAAACTGTTTCCCATTTTCGTGAAAACTACAGCAGTAGCTCTCATTTTCGTCTTGCAGTAAGGATGCGGTGATTTAAAACGAAGGAGGTAAGGCAGCCGCTATAACCCTCGAAGAAAGGGCCTACCAAACTCATGCTTAAAGGCAGTGCCCGGGCAAAAACTCGATTTCTAGAAAATCCACTTACCAAGGGTTATCCGTAACGCTGGATCCGAAAATTCACATTAGAAGGCGCGAAAACGGCGAAAACATGCGCTTTCCAAAGCCTTACATTTTGAAATTCGACGGTCCCCGCCAGGCAGTGACGCAGAGTCCCTACGGGACCCTACAATTCTGACTCTGGCGGCATGCGTACTCTGACGCATAGCAGGAATTCGAACAACTGGAAGGACCCCGCCCCAAGGCATAAGTTTCCTCGCTTTCCCGTCATTTTTCTTGCTTTAGGTCGAGCGCTATGACCTCGCACTTGCGCGATGTTTTGTCTGAGGAGGACCACTCTCGCATGGCACTGAGATCTCAAAACCCCCAATGCTCGGACACTGCCTTTAAGAGAATGTAGATGCCCGCAGCGCGTATTGAATGCGCATAGAGACTGGGGAGGTGGGAGGGGGGGGGGAAGAGGGGTGAGCGAGAGAACAAAAGCAACGAAAGGCAAGTACAGTTTTTGCAAATCTGTTGCGGAACTATTCTGATCCAAACGTAAATGATGGCTCGAACGAGACCTCGCACACCGAGCAGTCTCCTCTGAGAAGTGACTACAGAGCTCACAAAAATCGTTCAGTAAATCGGCTTGCTTACATGCATCATGACTTAGATGGATGCGTTGATCAGTTGAATCTTATCATCAGGTTCATAATTCGCTTAAAGCAAATTACGAAACCTTGATGAATTTTACCGACTTCGGAAATTTGGATTCAACGACAAACATAACAAACATCAAGAAAAGTGCAAGTCTGTGAGTCTGGAAGTTTTTTGAGCCTCATACACCTTTGGGGTGCCGACTGTCTCAATAACAGGGTCGCCAATATGCGGCGCAAGTTCCGCGCGACCGCTTGCTATTGCAGTGCTTTACCTAATCAGCGACGCAAACCTTGCGGGCAAAGGCGCCCGGCTCAGAGCCCTGGCAGCCGCATCGCTGAAGCTGGGAACACCATCATTTTCATCAGGAAACTGAGTATAGATTAAACTCAACTCATCGGAGTGCATTAGTTGAGAAAGATTACTTATACTAGGCATTTTTATTCAAAGATGGCTTTTATGTCACATTCATAGCCAAGCTGCTTGACCATGACAACAAAGACGGTTATTCTTTAGGCCGAAGCTGACTCGATGACGTATCTTGGTAATTAATATTAAAGCGATAAAGGAAACTTATCTCTGAAAGATTCATTTCTCGCCCTCCCGGTAGATCATAGATTGAGAGTCAATAAACTATCGATCTTTAGTCGCGTAAGCAATCAACAGACCTTTCTGCGATGTTTGATTTCGGCCAACTCTAGAAGCATCTTCTTTTCTCGCAATCTTTGCAAATATATAAGGAAGATTAAGAAAAGCACTGCAAGCACTACGCATATAATTCCACCAAAAATCAAATACATATTAATCTTGACTTCCTTCCCGTATTCTCTAAATCAACTATTTTGAAGAACGGAAATTCATAACCTGCCTCTACCGTATTGACGGATTTGCTCGACTCGTCGAAGTTGTATTAGCTGGAAACAGGTGTAATCTCAAACACAACGATGATGAGGGCCTGATGCTCACGGACCGATGCTAGACCCACCACCCACAGTTCCCCGCATTGTAAAAAATACCATACTCCTAAAATCCTGATATTTACTTGAACATTTACTCCCTGCTGTAGTCAATCTCATTTTTAGTTTGGAAGGTCTAGCGGTGGTAAGCGTTTCCACACAACTGTGGTTTTGAAGCAGCTGCAATTTTTGAGATGTCCAACACGAAGAGCTCTTTGAAAGATGCCATAAGTCGCACGACTCCAGGTGAGCGAAGCTACAAAGGGAAGTTATTGGTCTAAGACCCGATTCCAGGCATAACAACTGAAAGCTCAAGGCCCCACTTCACTCAATTGCAGTCAGTCGTTCAGGTATCGTCATACTCGTCGCATTTGTACTTTGACATTTTTAGGCAGAAAACTCGCATAATAACAAGCGAGAGCTCTGACTATTCGGCCGTAATCATAGTCGTGGTAGCAGTAGTGATTTTTGTCCTCGTTGTTATTATTGCAATCTTCGTTACTTTGATGCAGAGAAGGAAGCATAGAGAAAAGCTACTGTTGGCAGCTGAATTAGAGAAAGAAGAGAAAGAAAGAAGAAGACGGCGTGCAAGAAGAAAGGTACGCTGAAAAAAAAACTCACTTAAAAGATTGAGCCGACGAGAACGCTTCAATAGCTCACACCAAAGAGGACTCCAAGGAAGAGTAGAGGGAAGAGCACTCCAAAATTAAGAAAATTTGCTAAGCCAAGAAGCAAGGAGGAGGTTAGCTCGAGATGATAAAATATTCAAGAGCAATTTCTGAATTTCAGATGATGATGGAGCTCTCAGACTTTTTGGAAGCGCACTCCAAGAAATATAGAACCCCAGAAGAACCGACTGTAGGATCAGCTGAGCCTAGTCCTGTACCGACACCAACCGTAACTCCGGGACTGTTGAGTAGTGAGGTGGACATATCATTCAAATCTCCAGCTGCAGCAGATACACATTTGCAAAAGCTTTCGCCAGAAGACGCAGAGTATCCGCAAAAATTTAAGCAGCCATCCACACCCGAGGCGGATGAAAAGGAAGGGGCTGATCGTACGCCTTCAATTGAGATTAGTGAGAAAAGTGAGAAAAAATCGACGGGAACGCCAACAGTTCCCGCGGCACCGAGTTCCAGCAACATTACCCCTGCATCCAACACAAAGTCGGTCACTACTGAATCTAGACAAGCCACACCCACCGCGATCGAACATGAGGACCTGAACGAAAGTAGATCTCGCGAGCAGGAATCTTGGGATTTGGAAAGCGCAGAAAAAGAAGGCTACCCAGATAAAAGTATGGAGCAGTGGGAAGAAAAGTTGCAAAAAGCGGAGAAGCCAGAGAAAGAAGAGGAAGGCTCGCGTAATCACAAGAAAAAGTAGGCTCCAAAAAGCCAGAAGAATGAATTAAATTTTGTGTTGATATTATTATATATAATCAAGAAATTCCCAAATTACCATATGTAAGACGAATTATGAGCAATGAATTTTGTTTATTTTTTCAAATCTAACAAAACGCACTTGATGGTGAGACATTTTCAAAACCCTTCTCGTTCGCCTCATTCGATACAAAAAAGTTACTGAAATCAGAGAGGGAGAAGACGAGACTAGATAGGTGAAGTGACAATTTTGGAATCTTGCTAATAAAAAAGTCTTCCAACATTTCTATCACGTGTGAGAGATAGCGAGCTTGGAAAATGAAGCATCAAGAGCAGAAGCTGCTCCCTCTGAAAAGAGCATGAGATATCAAATGCTTTTATGAAAAAAGGATATTCGGGACCTTTTGCTGTAGCCAGACTATGAGTTTTTAGGGGGTTTGAAGATAGAACAACTGAAGGGGACATAAGCGTATAAGATACGTGAAAAACTTTCCAAGCTGTCGATGAAACAGTTATTCTTATAGTTCGAATCAAACTTATTATGTCAACCAATTTAGCAAACGCAGTGACTGCCGAAAAGCTGTAGACAAAGTGACTTCCTGGAAAACCTGATTCAGAGGTAAATATCAATTTTCAAAATCGGAAATCACTAATAGTGCCGGAAACAACAATTCTTAAAAGGCAAAGGTCCATTTCATTCATTTTAAGGCAAAAACGCGAGCATTCCGAACAGATCAGACTATTTTATAGACCTCATCGATGGTCATAATCATATTGTGGTTTCTTAGAAAGAAAAACATAAATGGAATTTAGGATAGTGCTCCCGCCTCCTGGTCTCGAGTCTCGATCAATCTAATGACGTCGTACTTGTTCTTCGCCTCCTATCATCAGATCTTCCATAGATTCCGATACGAGCATTCGGGTGCTGTAAGTACAAATCGTCCCCTTGTCAGTTTCGTTTCGTCAGCCTATATCGGTTTCCAAACCTTGTTCCCATCGGCGCTGCCTTGACCGTGGTTCTTTGATCAAAATAGCTTTCTAATCGTGCTTAATATAGATTCACTTGCGGGAAATAGCTTTTTAGGCTAAATCTCTGGCGAGGGACGTTGAGTTTATTTGTCAAAGGCAACCAAGACCAAATCGCCCCCACACCTACTTGAAAAACAGGGGTGCAAACTTTTGATGGAGGCAAAGAGTCTCCCGACAAGTGAGCGAGTCGCTAGAGGCTCTACAGGTGAGGTATAATCGTACTTATTTTCACTGTATATTTTATTCTCAAATCCCTGCCCCATCTCACTTCAAAATTCTTTGAGCGGAAACTCGTAAGAATTTTATGGAAATCATAGAGGATTTTATTTCAACTCGCACCAACAATGCTGGACGGAGGGCAAGCGTCAAAGGGGGTGGGTCGCCAAAAATACTCAAAGCACTGTTTTTCGCACCTGGGGTACTATGCGTTTGACGAGGCCAGCGCCACGCAGTGCAGTCACACATATACGCGCGAGCGTTACCGTACGCGCAGCGTGCAGGGACCATGCTGCGCACAGGGCCTTGTTTTTATGATCGTAGCTCGTGATTTTCCGTCCTTGTAGAAGCGGATTGCCGTTTTTCTTGCTTCTATACTCACATGCAGTCTGTCTTGGCACCGAATATAATCTTTTTCGAAGCACAGGAAGGAGGAATAAATTTTTTGAGCGTTTTTCCTCATGACATATTGCATTTCATCCGGGCCTCTTCGAATGGCTGATTTCGGATGTCATGATTCATTATACCGACTCGTGCTTCAACAACATAAATCGTGTATCGTTTAATTTGAGTGAACAGCGCCAACGTGCTGTTCACTCAAACTCTTCCCCCAAACTGTACGATACGATAACACCTTACGATATTCACCTCTAGCTGTAATGAGAAAGAGCACAGTTGTTTGGAATTCTCAAATGAAATGATTAGAATAAATCTTCTTTGAAACACCTCAAGCTTCCATTTCGTCTTCGTTTCGCGCGATGACACTTTGAGAGATCGCAGGAAGTACTTATGAGTTTCAAACAGGAAATCCTCAGAAATTTGGAGGCAATACAGCGAATACGCTAAGAAAGAAACGCCAATAGTGGCTAAAAAAGGATCACGCCGCTTTGCGCGGCGCTGGCCCCGTCAAACGCATTGTAAATTGCTGGCTGTTTGAGTACTCGCCTTGGAAAGCACGAAAAGGCTGAAACCAGGAGGGCATTTCCCAGATTCGTCAAATTCCAACCGTGAAGGGTGGACGCAAAGCCCGCCATGGTGAAGACGCAGAGTCGTTGCGAGCCCCTTATGCTTGAAGCATTGCGGTTTGCGCGCTTTGGCATGGAAGGGAAATGGCAAGGTTGGCGGGGTCAGAGATGTGAGCTGTAAGGAAAGACGGAACCGCCAGGGTCAAGCAAGCGGTGTGGCACACGATCGCTGGTTACGACCCCCCCCCCCTGATTGCTGTCTTAATAAGACCCCCCTCCTGAACTATACACGTAAGATAGCATTACTTGAAGGCCCTGTCAAACATAATGGGCAACATATCCATAATTAGCATGTCAAATAACCCCTGTAGACAAAGTGTGAGCGAATTCTGAAGATTCAAGATACTAGGCTACCTAAGTGAAATGGTCAATTTCCAACATGGTTAATTTTGTTTCAAAGGTGAATTAGCTATCCGTTTTTGCACTTAGGACAAAGCACTACTCCTTTGTCCACCTCAGGAATCCCGCTTCAGGAGACCTCCAAACTGTGGAATTAGAAGCCAACCAAAATCTCATTTTTCCCATTTTCCGCTTTTGATGGCTGTGCATATGAATACTGTCTGCTAAAATTGTTTTCTTGATATAGTTAATGAGGTGCGGCACGCTGGCCGCCGCAGCTTTTAAGGGGGTGTGCCGCACCCCATTAACTATATCAAGAACACAATTTTAGCAGACAGTATTCATATGAATCAATAGCCTAAACCTTGTAAATTCCATAGGACTGTTTGGAGCCTGATTCGTCTTCTTAGCTCTGAGTGATAATTGGTGAGCACAGCGATCAAAAGCGAAAAATGGGAAAAACGAGATTTTGGTTGGCTTCTAATTCCACAGTTTAAAGGTCTTTTGAAGCGGGATTCCTGAGTTGGACAAAGAAGGAGTAGTGCTTTGTCCTGAATGCAAAAACGGATAGCTAATTAGAAACTAGAAAGCGCAGGTATCCGTGGTCAGCTGCTGAAATGGCTGGAATCCTATCTCAGTGAATGTAGAATGACCGTGCGCGTTAAAAACATGTATTCAGAAAGGTATTTGTGCAGCAGTGGTGTTCTGCAGGGAGGAATCCTCTCACCCCTTTTGTTTTTACTTTATACAGCCGACCTACCCTCATTCATCAAAAACGACCCAAAAATACATGTGCAGATTTTTGCCGATGATCTTAAGATATACGCTTGCTATGGAAAAGAGGAAAGGGAGGAAGCCTACGAAGCCCTTTCTTCTTCCATGGAAAGAGTGAATTATGGTCTGAGATATGGGATCTGCCCTTGAATCTTTCAAAATGCTTTGTCATCTGGGCTCGGCACGAGGTGGCTTACAAGCAAGCTGGATATCGTTTTTGGGACGAAAAGCAAAGGGGGTTTCGTTTTTGTGACCGAAGACACACGCAAAATTGGCGATTTGGCGACGTTTTTTTAGTCGACGTTCCGTTTTTTGGAGGATTTTTAGGGAATATGGTGGGGGGTCAAAGGGGACTTCGTAAAAATACCCAAAAGTCAAGGGACTTCGTTTTTTGCATTTTCATCTAGCCACCTCGTGCCGAGCCCTGTTTGTCATGCACTTAGGAGACACCAGTACTCACCTCAAGTCATTTATCTGCGGTGGTACTGAGCTTGAGTATCGAAGCGTCGTGAAAGATTTGGGCGTTTTTGTTGATGATGCTCTCACTTTTACTGCACGCTATGATTCAGTCGTCACCAGGTCGCTGGCAGCACTGTTTATGCCTCTACGTAGCATCCACGGTAATGAACCTGGACTTTTCGTGCGTTTATACAAAACATATGTCTTGCCTCATTTAGATTATGCTTCACCTGTTTGGAGTCCTTATTTAAAAAAGCATGTGGTGAAGCTCGAAAAAGTTCAAAAAAATTTTACAAGGATAGTTTTTTACAGATTTTTCCCTGACCCTCAATACCCCCGCACATTACCGTCCTACGGTGCTCGACTTGCAGTTTTAAAGCTGCCTAGTTTGAAGTATAGACGTGTTGTTAGCGACTTAGTGTTCTGTTTTCGTATCCTAAAATTAAAAACGAAATTACGAGCCAGTAAATACTGGATCTTTAGGCCTAGTGGAGAGCGTACAGGTGGGTTTAATCTGCATTACAGGAAGCTAGGTAAAAAATGCTTTTTGCAAACCTTTAATTCATATTTCTGCCGAACCACAAGATGGTTAAACCTTTTACCTAAGAAAATTATTTCTAGCAAAAATGCATCCTCTTTTCGTAAGAAATTAGGCTCTATTGATGTACTGGAACATTTGCATATAGCTGATGTTTAGGTTGAGTCTTCTGATCGTTCCCTTCTACCATTGATTCTTGCCAGCTCTGTTGTTAATTTGGCGACAACGATCCATCGAGTCTCGTTCTTCGACCTGCGCTGATCGAAATTCTCCATCGCCGCGTTTTTTTTTCATTCCGAGATTATCAAACGCTTTTTCATGTTTTTTTCTGTTTTTCTTTTGATGTCATACTAACTTCATTGACGTTGTATGTTGCTGTTCACTAACAATTGGCGCGCCTATGAGCGTATTAAATAAATTAATTAATAAATAATTCACCTTCAAAACAAAGTTAACCATGTTGGAATATGACCATTTCACTTAGGTAGCCTAGTATCTTAAGCTTCACAACTCGCTCACACTTTGTCTACAGGGGTTATTTGGCATGCTAATTACGGATAGGATACGAATATCATGTTATCACTATTATCAGATTACCCAACTACGACCCTCTCCCCTTTTGACTCCTCAATACGACCCCCCCCCCCCCAGGTGTGGCGTGCCGCACCCCACGCTTGACCCTGGGAACAGCTGCCTTTTGCGTTGGATTTCCGTGGGTTAGAAGTAGCAGTGAGAGATTGTACTTGGCCCATTCCAATGTGAGGACTCCCACTCTGTGACGTTGTTTTGCCGGAGGTCTCATTCTGCCGAGCCTACCTTTGAGGGCACAAGACAACTGCTACAAGTCCACTGCATGTCAGTCATCTAACATTACCGTTGTGGTACACATTTGCGACTAGTCGATTGGAAAACTATCGCAACCGAAATGCTGGATATCGGCATGCAACGGACTCGTAGCCAGGGCTCGGCACGAGGTGGCTTACAAGCAAGCTGGATATCGTTTTTGGGACGAAAAGCAAAGGGGATTTCGTTTTTGTGACCGAAGAGACACGGAAAATTGGCGACGGTGACCTTTTTTTTAGTCGACGTTTCGTTTTTTGGGGGATTTTGGGGAATTTTTCAGGTTTTTAGAGGAAATTTGGCTGAGGGTCAAAGGGGACTTCGTAAAAATTCCCAAAAGTCAAGGGGGACTTCGTTTTTTCCATTTTCATCTAGCCACCTCGTGCCGAGCCCTGCTCGTAGCAGTCACCTTCTCGGGAAAATCGCGAGCGATGAAATCGCGTGCTGCATGCCAAACCCTTTGGCCTAAGGCATACCTCACGCGATTTCAGTCGCTGATCGATTCGGCACGGAAGCGACTGTTCGTAACTGGTCGTTACCGCCCTTTTGTTTGAACAGGACCTGATCTGTTTGCAAGAACTTACAAAAGCTACATGCCTATGCATTCGCCCACGACGAATTTGTGGAAATCTGGCAGAACGCCAAGTCGCGTGGACGTCGCGATTTGGTCAAACCGCGTGAGGTATGCCTTAGGCCTTAGGCGACAGAGCGTGCAAAATTCAAGCAACGTAAAGCCCCTGACCCGCGATGCTACGCAAATTTGGCACGGAGTCACGTATCTGCTGCAAGGTGTTTCACACGCGGGAGCATATGATGTGCGAATCGAGTACAATTAATATGACCTTCTGAGTTAGCAAATCAAAATTTTTTTCAAAAAAGAATTCGTATAATCTCGCATGGTTATGACTCAAATACAAAAACCTGATAAAACTTTATAATTTCTGAAGAAAACACAAATTGATCTGTTAACAATGATAGAGATGATAATCGATATAAGGCCAAATAAATTATTATCGCTACAATTTCAGACCATCGTTCATTTTGGTAAAACAGTTAATCTATACTCTGGTTCTTTTGAACAAATTCAGGTACGAAAACATCATTAAGTAACATGCACAACCATTTACAAAAGAAGAAAAGAACAGTCGGAAAAACCGCTTGTACCTTATGCGACAACCAAAAATCACATTTGAAAATATTTGTAGCTGCTTTTCCAAAGAATAACTCCAAATAAAACATGGAGAACGTAAAACATCCGCATTCTCTGTAGAGCATGAAAACAGAAAATGAGAAATAAATAATAACAATTGAAAGTATGAACAATCGACATCTCGGTGGAAATTTGAAATAAAAGGACATGTCGATGAGCAGACTCGATGTGGCTAACATCACAATTTTGATGACAAATGATAGATTCACATAAATAATCACATTTTGGGGGTACTGTGGAATCACTAACTCTAGGGAAAGTTTAAATGAAAGCCTATTTTTGAACCTGGTATCGTGTCTTGTACTCATAATGCCATCGATTAAAATCGACGTTGAATACCACGATTGATCCGGAATCGAGTCCAGCAAGAACAAATCGATGATTTGCCGATACTGCCACTGACCGTATCGCGCTGTCCACTTGCTGTAAAATAAACGGTAAAATAGATAGGAGAAAGGTATAGATAAGATAAAGGAAAGTGAGACACTACCGCAGCATTTGCGGTTCTACGACACTTGGTGTGACTGCCCAATAATTTCTAATTACGAAAAAAAATTACGAAACTCACTCGAGCGCAGAAGCAATTAGCAGACAACTACAACCGCTACATCTTGCGCTCAAAGGGAAAAGAACAACTTGATCTGGCATTTAAAAATAAATGCTTTTCATTGAACGTTTCAAGCACTGATGTCAAATCCGCTTTCCTTTTCGGCGGAACAACGAAAGAAGTTAAAGGCAGCGTCCAAGCAAGTCTGAACACATGGGGATCTCACGTGGGTAGTAATTTTGAGGGCCTAACTAAGCCACTGCCCAACCGGCAGCTCATGCAGTGCTCTAACGGCGGAGATATACCCCTCGAAACTGGACCCCAGGTTGTTTAAAACTGTTTAAAACTATGAAAGTGGTAATCGATTTTGTATCGAGTACAACAAGAAGAAGCTCTTATGTAGTGTATCGAGTATAACCAAGAAGAAGCTCTCATGTAGTGCTCTAACGGCGGAGATATACCCCTCGAAACTGGACCCCAGGATCGTATTTCGCATGACCAAAGCGTGGGTCCTCGCCCGAAACTGCCATGAATCCATGCGAATACGATCGTGAGGTCCAGTTTGGAGGAGCATATCTCAGCCGTTAGTGAGTCACCTGCGCTCCCGCTTGAATAGTGCCTTAGTTAGAGCCCCAAGATTAAAAAAATTTCCAGATCTGCCTTGACGCTGCCTTTAAGAGCGTTTGAATGTCCAACTTTATAAAACTTCTAATGGCATGAAATTAGCTGTTCAAAATTATGAAAGTGGTAATCGATTTTGTATCGAGTACAACTACAAGAAGAAACCAGCCAGTGTCCGCATAGGTGTTTCTGTATAGCTTTTCGCCAATTTCATGCCATTTTAGGCCTGACAAATTTGGAGATTCAAACGCTCATAATTTCTTTTGAAAGTTTGTTCCGCAAAAAAGGAAAATTAATTTGAAATCAATTTCACAAACTCGCGTTTAGTGATAAACATCTCTTTTCGATTTGCCAGAACAAATTGGTATCCTTCCCTTGCCAGACGCGAAACCCATATACGGTAGCTCTCGCGCGTTTGCGTGGTCCACTTTGTTGTGCCGTCACACCAAGAGCCTTCTTTAGCCTACTGCACAAATTCCAAGATTTTCACAATTTCATGGAAAAACTTAGCCAGTCCTGAACTAGCGTGCGCGACTATCACGAAGGCGCCAACTACCCCAGTACCAAAACTTTGAATATGATACTGAGTCTAGAAGCGAAAGCGAACTAATGGAGATGACAGTGATAAAACATATCGAATGATTACGCTAAATAAGAAATGATAAATGCCAAAGCGCTACTACTGATTCAAAGACAAAACATCATAGTTCATTCGCGCAAGCATAGCATTCCATGAAATCGCAAAGTAAGAAGCATACTAGAGGGAAAGAATAATAGAAGGCATTTGTGGGAACAACACTGTTCTAAAAAAAGATGTGATAATTACGTTTGGGCATAGACCCATTAATGTTTTCTGATCATCTTCAGAAATTCTATCGTTTTGTCTCTAAAAGAGCAGGTGAAGCAAAGCTTTTATACAGAAACCGAAATCAAGTAGGCTAAATACGCAAATATAAACTCATACCTGAAACGTATACAGTTTTTGCAATGGGAAAAGCCTCCAAACCGCACAGCGGCCACTTTCTGATCCAGTGATGACATAATCACCATCTCTAGTCAAACATGCGCATTCGATCCTAAACAAAATCAAGAAATGTAGAAGTGCGCACGGAATAAAATCGAGTGACAAACTTCTCATCAGTCGCAGCTTCATCCAGCTGATTCGCCGTCGTAGTGAGCGTGATGAAGCGATGGTGTCCATAAATGGCCATCACGACACATTCCCTGCTCATGAGCAATTGTGACACCCGTTGTTTACCATTCCAACGCCGCAGCATCTCACCAGCAGTAGTGTGCATGAGGATCGTGCCGTCTTAATATGAAAAATCAATGAAAATGCCATTTAGTTATGGGAGATATCAGAGATGGAACGAAGAGCGAAATCCCCGCCTATAAATACAAAATATTTGGCATGTGGAAGTGTGCACAGACAAAACATGAAACTAATAGTGCATAAAAGAAATAAGATAAATTATTAATTTTGCATAAAAATTAGAAAGAAAGCTAGATATAAGATAATGGAAGGACATCTGTTGGAGACGGCCCTTTTGCACCGATACAGTAGCTAGGGTAACGTCTTGTCAAGTGCCACGAATTTGCCGTGCCGCGGATTGCGAAAAAGAATCATTACAAAGGAGAGCAAAGCGTGTTGCGATGCCACCACTGAGTCTCACTGACACTGCGAGGTTACGGTAACACGAAGAGACAAGGTGCAAAAGGGCCTACATGCAAAGATCGTGAATTATACCTTCACATCCGCTCAGCACTAGTCCATGTTCAGCAGACACGGCAAGAGCAGAAATGGCAGCTTCATGTCCCGTTAATATTGCTCTGGGTGATGGTGTTTCTCCAGGAACGTTGTACTCACCAGCAACGAAGCATTGCTGCAAAAACTTGGGTAAAAATAAATGGCTAGAGAACAATTGGTAGTCCAGCAGATTTGACATAGTTAGTATGATATAATAAGATAATAATTAGTAGATATAACAATAAATTATTAGAAAACATATATAGGTTTCAAGACGAAAATAAACATAAAATTGTCACAGAAATAGAAAATACAGTACTCGGTGTATATGTCAAAGTTATCGTACCTGCCCATTCCAATGCCACAGCGCTACCGTACAATCATTGCTGCCCGTAACTACATAACAATCAGCAAAGAGGCTCGTTTCCGATCTCGCGATGCATGTTACGACATCGCCATGACCATAGATAACTTGCCGAACCCGTGCTAAATTCACATATTTCAATATTTGCAGCAAAAATTCCATCTCCTTACCTGAATCCGTGTCGATCACTCGAAAACTGTAATCTGGGTAGCCACATGTTATCAAGCATCTACTGTCCGTGGTGGTTACAAAATTGTTCCATCTGACTGTCAGCCTGTGATCCAGCGAGTCACCCATGTGACGCCGGGCAACTGGTACAGATGGGTTACCAGATGCTAGCAAAGGATCAACGGTCAGAGGTAGTTCAGTCTAAAAAACACATCTCTAACATTGAGCAACTTTCTATTTTTCAAAAACAAAAAAGGATACCAATTTGCAAAGAAACAAAATCGATATGCTATGAACTAGAAAAGGTCGTAGCTAACAGAAATGAAAGTTTGAAAGGAGCGGGAGAGGGGGAGAAAGATGATAGAGATAACTACTTGAATAAGTATTGATCGACAATGGGATATAGAAACTCCGACAAATTCTTCTCTGATAGACATTGTCAAGTTCTCTTTTCCTCTCCCCGTCCTCCCACCCCGTTTTTCGATGCCCATTTCTTGCAAAGATTTCTTGCGAACACACTGCAGGTAAAGGGACTCTTATATGACAGTCTCAGTATCGTCATCAGCTCTCACAAACCTTAAATTTGAGACAACAAGCCCTCATTTTGAAATTCTCCTGAAATCCACCCGAAGTAAGATAAACGGACAACCGCAACGCCTAAGAATTTTCCAGAAATTGCGTATTCTAATTACTTACGGATGCGTTGTCGGATTCTCCTGCTTTCTCATTTCCCAAATTCAGTGCGCTTCGCGTGCTAGCTCCATCTGTAAATGAACTTATTCGTTCTGATGCTAGTTAAAAAGGAGAAAATCTCAAACTCACATGTGTACGAGTTATCCCAGCGATTCAACGCAAATACAAGGTTCTGCGCAACTGATACTACCGTTGGTTGCGGCAGTTGCTGGAATGTATTGGCGGCCAGGAACACGACAGGACTGTTGGAAATGAACTTCATCAACATGCACAAGTCATCTTCACAACGCCGGAACATCAGCGGAGCCTGGCAAGACAAAAAGTAGTTTTAGCCGAAAAGTGAAAAATGTACAATCTCAAAGTTCAATTACTATAAAAGCACAGTAAACTTCACTATTTTGTGGTTACCGTGGTAATTGGCTAAGAGTGCTACAGAGTTCTTATCGTAAGCACATAGAGAGTAAACGTGTTACCGGTGCGCTACGATGTGAAACGATTTTTTCAGTAACCCTACCGTAAGCTGAGCAGGGATGGCCATGCTACCAACGCACTGACAGGAAACTGTAGCATTAGTATCACAGTATCTCTAGTGAGTTCCGTACAAAGGCTTCCGGTTCCGAGGAGGGCGACATATTTTTTTTATAGAATGAAGGTGCATTGACTACCGCCAGTTTTATTCGAATATTTTACAAGGCTAATTTGAACTTACAAAAATTCCTAAGAATTATTTCAATTATTTTCCCCATCGGTACGCCCTGCCCTAATGTGAGCTCATGGAGAATAACAAGGTATGTGATCTACACTATTGCCACAGTATCCCTACCGTAAACTCATAGATATACGGTAGTGCTAGAAAGTGCTACGATGAAAGGAAGTGAAGTAAGAAGGCTACAGTACTCCTCATGTAAGTTCACACGGAATAACTTGGCTAATGTAAAACATTTTGATGCCTACAGTATTCCTACGTACTCATGAAGGCTGACTACGTTACAGAAAAAGATACTGGGGCAACATACAATCCTTTTCTGTGATTTTGACCGAAACGAACTCCTTTTCAGCTTTCATTACAGTATCTGTTTTTATATGATTCATTTCTTTTAATTAGCTTATCTCAAGCAGACGCACCATAGTCATCACTGAATGTCTTGGCGGATGAGCTTCGGCCAGTAGTTGCACTGGAGTTTGTCCAAATGACTGAATTTGCTGTTGAACGGCTTCCAGTTGTGCAGCATTTTCTATAGATTTGAGGCAAACAGCTCCTTCATAGGTGAGGTAGTAGAAGACGTTGGTGGCTCGAACCTAGAGGATTACGATGAGCTACAATAAGCAAACGCATAAAGGGGGCGACTCACCGCCTCTGGACCCTTTTGCTTGTAGCCAAAAATGAGGTCAATCCACTGATTTAGCTGGCAACTGACAAGATCACTCTCTAGTGCTTGTCGATGTAATAGAACAAATTCTTCGGGTGAAGATGCCCATTTGGGTAAGACGACATCTCCAATCTAAAACGACAAGGATTACTGGTTGATTGAGACAAGCTTAGTGCAGCCAACCTTCGATCCATCAGATCTCGTTCCCAGCTCAAAACCATTATCATTTCGCATCAATTCTGGCAGATAGTACAGTTCAGGTACGAGTTCCTGCGACAGAAGTTTATCTTACGGCTCGCTGATGCAGAAGAGGTAGCATACCTTGACATCATGCGAATCCTTTTGACATCGTTCCCATGTCTCAGCGATGCTGTGGAATACTCGGTCAGGATGATCAAACCGACCATTCTGCATATCCAAAAACATGGTAGTGAAGGGTTCCTGAAAAGAATTGATCAGATCTTATAAAAAACTCATTGAAAGATTACAACCTGTAGCAGTCTAAAAATTTTCTGGAGGGAGAACATGACTTTTATTTTCAAGTGAAGGGGCGTGACACTTATCCACATCTTCATCTTCGAATAATTATCCGGGGTTTTTCAATTTTTTGCGGACTAATATCCCTGAAGTTACCCGCACGATTTCATATCGCAGCCCATTCTTGAACGCGCTATCGTTCCCCCCCCCCCCCCCTTCATCCGCCAGTGTTACAAGTAAATTAGAGATTTTTGCGTTCAAAACGATAAGCTCAGTGGATTCCATGGAAAACGACTAGATGCGGTGCCCTTGCAGACCAAGCAAGCTCATACATATAAAAAATTCTTTGTCACTCCCTCCCCCCCCCTCCCGCAAAAGAATCCGCGATCGTTGTCTTCGTTTTTCAAATAATTTCCGCTTTTTTTCCATCGCTGATTTAATCCTAAATGTTCGAAAGAAAAATTCACTAAATCTTTGACCTAACACACCATCCTCAACCAAATTTTTGAAGGTGGGTCAAGTCACACCCATTAACATGAATAAAGTCCTGTCTCGCCCTCCCCCCCTTCTCCTCTCCACACACACAGAACGTTTCGCGCTTTTGTTGATGAATTTCTATTCGCCACCTGGGTTTTCCTTTCTGCTCTAAATTTCCTTTGGAGACTTCATAAGAACCCAAATAATTTTTGGCACTTACCACTCTCATCAACCAATTCAATGTAAATGCTTGTGTTGAGTAATGAGTTCCATAATGAAATGCTGGTATCGTTTCGTCATCCCATGATGTGTATCGCTCTTGGAAGAACTTACGCCGAGACTCCGATAATGCGCCGATAGGCTGAAAGTCGCGGAAAAAAACTAGTTCGAACAGTTGTCAATTAGGCATCGAGCCAATCAGAGCACAAAACTCTTCAGCCAATCTCGTACCTTGGATAAATCCCTGAAGTTCGCTGCGACATTCAAATCAAGCGTTTCCGAAGTGTAGTTGGTCAAAATCCATGGGAAAACAGGGTACTGATTCAGATCATTAAATGTTCGTCCGGCTACCGTATTCAAAAACATCAAATAGTCGAAATTCGATATTTCTCGCTAAAATACCCATTTTTTGTCTGATATCATCTCGATCCCAACAAAACAACCTTTTGCCACTTCAAACACATATCTGAATGTTTGAACAGCTGTCTAGGAGTCATCAGGCTAGTTTTTCGACTTTGGGGCAAGCCATATTTCACTCCGACTCCAACTCGTGGTAACTGATATACCACATTTCGTACGGTATCTTGATCAGGGAATGCGAACATGATGGCAGCTAGAAAAAATCATTTTTGAGATGTACTACTCAATGTTTCCAAGAAAATCGTACTTCTCGTAGCAAGAAACAGTTCCAGGGCAATGTTTTGTAGCAGATGACGTCGCAGGAAAACTGCTCGGATCTCTTGTAGGTTCCATCGTCCATGTAGATTTTCACAATATCGCAGAACCTACAATGAATCCCAATGAATTCTATGAACCTCTCAACCCTACATATCAAGCCCGAAGGTATGTCACAAATTCCGTCACAGACTGTCACATCAAAATCTCGATGCAGGTTGAAATGTGACAAGGCTGTGACGGAATCATCACACCTGCAAAAGTGAACCAGGAAGAGCCACATACAAAAACAATTCACCATCGTAAAAAAAATTTAGCACCCTCTATGGAAACCATAGATTCAAAAAGTAGCTTTCGCAGCACAGTAATTTTTCTCACCAACTCTGATATTACTCAGACAATTTTGGCCTATTTCTCGAAATCAGTGATCTAGTGAATAAGGAAAGCGCTTGTTCTAACAGTTTTCTGAAAATGATCTTATTGCTGTGGGGGGGGGAAAGAAAGCAGTACACGTGCAAAGTAAGTCTAACGGAGCTAAAAAAAATAACAAGCATCATATGCAAGTCTCTGCAATTAAAATTGCTAGATTATATCTACACAACATCTCCTTTAAGATGAACAGTTTCGAACATTATTCTAAGAGATTTTTTACGAGATTGATGGAAGAATTTCGTGAGAATTACTGCTCAATTACGGAGAAGTCTAAAGGAAGTCATTTCTCTCCATTTCTCATCAGCTGATTTCATGTTTCATTGGCATTTGCGCAGTTTCCAAAAATGGAAAAAATTGGAAAGAAGCCTGATTCGCTTCAACATAAAACTTTCCTCAATTATAAATTGAATACCTTTTTGAAAATATCTGCACTCTTGAAGAAGCATTTTTACCTCCTACCCCTCAAAGGTAAGCAAAGTAAAACGCCGGCGACTATACAAAGGGACAGATCATTATTTATCTGGCCGCTCATCGCTCACCGTGCATGTCACTAATTACTGCTCTCGCGTGTTTGCATCGCTCTACACGCAACTTCTACACGGTCAATGAAAGAAAAAGCAATGGATTTTACAGTTTAGAGATGGAATTTGTGGCTACAGTGGTACTGAAATATAAATGTCCCAAAATAAAAAATCCTGTCAAAGATTCCATATATTTTTGGCATAGGACAAGAAAATAAGTACGAAACTGTGAGACCCAGCAAAAAAAACAACATTCACTTGCTACCGTGTACCTACCGTATCACCCCAGTAGGCACTAAACAAACGCATCCAGGATTCATGTAGAACAATTGTCGTGCAATGAGTTTATCTGTCATAATCTGCACATGATGTTCCCGCTGAAGTAATCGCAAGAAAGAATAGGACCTAAGCAAAACACACCACCGTATCCTGCTACCGTATGACCTACCGTTCACACGATAGGCACTAAATAAACGTGTAGACGCTAGTACTGAAATTGTAGACGCTAGTACTGAAATTGTAGACGCTAGTACTGAAATTAAGTCATGCTCAGCAACAATCGTGATTCTTGATGTTTCCACTAAAGCTGTTACGCAAGAGACATTAAAACCCCTAATGAAAGACATTACGGCCTTGCTACAGTATACATACCGTACTACGGCAACAATCATTTGTTCTAAACAAGTCAACTTGTTAACCCATTCCTGATTTCTCATACCACATAAACAGTAGTCAAAACAGAATTTTACCATATATTTTTTCTACCTTGCCAGCCGTCATAGTGCAATTGCACAACAAACACGAGATCGACGATCAAGAACACTTTCACAACGTTGTCAACAATCTAGTAAAAATTAGCGCACAATGTGCGATAACACCATCTACACCTATAAATCCATCCAACCGTATGAAAATTTCCCCATAATCTACCGTAACATCCCGCACTCGCGTTCCAATGACTTTGGGCGCGCATCCCGCAGTGCGCGACGGATATGCGATGCGCACCGCGAGGTCTTTGCCGACCTCGACCTGTCATGATCGCCATGATAAACTCACTCGGGATTACAGCACTTTCAGAGCGGATCAGAGGACAATCTCTTCACATTTCTTCTGAGGTGATGTATGGGCGGAAGTAGGATTTGTATAGATGACCTTTTTACAATATATATGGGTAACTGTCCACGTAATGTTAATCGGGTTAATTAAATGGTACATAGAACTTTTGAAATCTTGAACTGACGGGACAACACTGGATGGACATGAGGCACGGCAGAAACGATTTGGATTGAATTCAATGGCTAGAGCGAGTCCCCATATAAGACATGAAAGGATTATAGGACTTTTTTTGCAACATGCAATCTCTCAACACTTTACCCTCTAAACATTATCCTTTTAGAGAGTTACGGTAGATATACGGTATGGGGACCCGCTCAACCCCACGACACGGGTATACTTTCTGCCAAGATTTGACTAAGTTTCACCGTCTATCGCTTAAGGCCTAAGGCATACCTCCCGCGATTTTAGTCGCCGCGCGATTTGGCACTGCAACGACTCTCCGTAGCTGGTCGTAAACGCACTTTGCTTCGGCCAGACTTGCTGTGTTTGTTACAATTTACGGAATCTACGTACCCATCATCTGAGAGCCTCTCATGCTTAATCTCTTAACATCTGGCAAATCGCCAAGTCGCAAGCATGCGGCGATTTCGCGAAATCGCGAGAGGTATGCCCTAGGCCTAATACCATATCCAAAGGAGGCGATGCATCAATAATACGCTTCTCAAGCCCAACTTCAAGATTTTGTGAGTTTCATCAGCCCTCTTCCCTTCCCGCAGAAAAATTCTTTGCTCCCTTAGCGAACGCTGTCCAAAGGAACGATGCTGTCGTCGGCGCTAATCACTTATTCATTAAGATGCGATTAAAAGACAGCTAGCGAACTGGGCAGAATTTCTGGATGAGTGTCATAGAGGTCATAGAGAGAAGTAGCTATTTGCATTCTGGATTTTAAAAATTTACACAGGCGATAGGGAGAGCAGGGTCCCCTCCAAACCGAAACCAGTTTGCCCTCGAGTCGTGGTTCATTAGCGGGTACCCGTCAAAACTCAAGCTGGTCGAATTATCCGAAAAGTTTTGGTTTATGCAGCCATGAAACTAGTTGGTGGTTTGCTAAGATACTTTTTTTAAAATTTTTTAGCAAGATATGGTGTAGAGACTATAAGGTTCAAGAGCTTCACCCTTTTCCAGCTAAGATCTCGCCAGTTCGATCCTCAAAATCTCCCCCTCCCCCCATTTCCCCCCCCCCCCCTTTGTGATGATACTGATCATATCACTTGAAGGTGAACGAACACTATTACACACCTATCACCACCGTGAAACAAACGTGACAACCGTGTTGAACGAATCGATGAGAAGGGGATTCGCACATTCTGGGAATAAAGCTCACTTCAATTCAAAAATTTGATTTTGCCCATGAAAGATTCCTAAGATGGCTACCGTAATCTCACGCGCCATAACCCAACTTTACTGGCCGTAAAGCCAAATCAATCCGTAATTCGCCTACATCCATGACATTTCGGGGTAGTTTAGGAGATGAAAGGTTATGAATGTTCCTGAAGTTTCTTAGCAACCCGTATTCATAGCCATTCATCCATTAAACTTCGGCTAAAACCTCTTAGCAAAAGAAACTTGGCTACAAGACAACTCGTACAAAGCTATCGGCGATGTCATGTTGTGACATCTTGCTAAGCCTTGAGAGAAGAAGCTACATTCGTAAATAATTGAGCAGGTAGGCCAAGGAGGAAATGGGCGTGGCCATATCGACCGTTGATTGATTGTCGCTACTTGCAGAACACAACCACCCGCGCCCCGCCCACTAGTCAGGGGCATCCGCGCGCGCACGCACGCACATCTCATCAGGTACTTGCCAGCTGGATTCGTGACAACTGCTCCACGGATATTTCTCTACGATCCAGGGATTATCTAGTCCTCAAACCTCAACCCAGATAGATGCACCTTTCTAGGACAAGCACTCCCACCAAGCCCTAGGATATTCCCGAATATCCCCTCTTCCAAAGATGTTGGGCCAGAATCCCAACGTCATCTACCAAATCACCAATTACTACAATGATAAAGTGCAAGTTCGAAAGAATCACGTTCACAAATCCGTTTACCGGATCGCAAAGGTTGTGCAGGACGTATTAAAGGATGTGGAAAGTCAAGAACCACGGTTTATTTCTACTCTTGTCGAGAGTAATGGACGCTATGATGGGGTGAGCAGGATAATTCCAAAATTCACTTTTAGCTTACTTAATGCCAAACGATGATTTCCTTATATACTGTTGTCTAAAATTTCTAAACATACTCCTAAGCTACTTGTACTTCTTTGTTGTTTTCGCGACGTATTTCTTTTTCTTTTATGAAATATCATTATCCACCTAGTTTTCTTGTTGAGGTGGATGAAAATATGGACAAATTTTTTGAAATTTCATTTTTGGTCGATAATTCCAAACCCTGATGCTCAATACCGTAGTCATACAGTATGCTTTATAGAGACGACTACCAAGCCTTAATACTCAGAACCGTAATGATACGATATGAGGAAGTGATGCGTTCCCATCAACAGTCAATATCGTAATCACACAGTATGAAGAATTTAATCCCGGCTTTGGTAATCAATACCGTAAGAATACAGTAAACCTGATGAAGATGGTGATATGTGGATCGCACTACAATGAACTACTGATTTTTTGAATCTCTGCCATTATTTTAAAAAGGGGAGACTAAACATGTTTTTCAAACCCTCCCACAAATTTATTAGGAAAATTTTTTTATGAAAACACAGTACGATGTCCATTTTTTTCAGCATATTAGAATACTATAAGAATTGCTTGCTACCATACCTAGTACTTCTGTTACCTACTTTCCACATTATTATTTAAAACCGGTTAGTAACCTAAAATTAACGCTTTTTCCAGCTCATCGTCCACTCCCCACACGAGTACGAAGCCATACTCTACCTCAACCAGATGGGAGTGTTCAACTTCGTTGACGATGGCTCAATCCAAGGCTGTGCCGTCTTAAAACTGAGCGATGGTCGAAAACGATCCATGTCGCTTTGGGTGGAGTTTATCACGGCTAGCGGTTACTTATCAGCACGTAAGATACGTAGCCGGTTTCAAACACTTGTCGGACAAGTGGTCGAAAAACCCGCGTTTCGGTTAGTTTTTTTCACTTATATAAAAATTATACCGTACCCAAGAATATGTGCCTTCCAGGGACTACTGTAAATTACTCACTGACACCAGTGACGTTCGACTAAGGGTTGATGACAAGTATGTGGTGCAAATAACATGCGCTTTCCGATGCAATGGAATCTGGCCTCGGTCAGCTAGCCACTGGCCAAATAATACGATTCCTTGGCCTAATCCAGCCGTTGCTGCTGAGGTCTGTTCACCGCACAACCAAAACCAACCATTTTTTACCCAGCTCTTTTTTTCAGGTAAAAAACGAAGGCTTCGATTTGACTAGCCGTGAAACTGGAACCACATCGTCGCAACAGAATAAGCAAGCCAGTTCAATGGAAGGTGACGCTTGGGCTATGAACCTTACAGGGGCCGAGAACGTCCTCCTGGGTAAGGTTCCTCTCCCAGAGCTCCATTTTCCTACAGGAAAGTTATTTTTCCAGCTGGGAACCGCCGAAAAGCCCTGAGTATCCTTAAATGCTTGCGGGATACCCATTTGGAGTTTCCGGGAACTCCTATAACTAACTATATTCTGAAGACTTTGATGTTATATGAGTGCGAGAAGCACTGTAACGATTACGAATGGGAGGATAACTGCATTGGCGATAGGATCATCGGTAAGTGAGCAGAATTAGTCCTTTAATTAGACTGCATTGTCATTTTTTCTATTATCTTTTTTTTCAAATTATTTCTGCACATCGTACAGTCTGTCTACTTCCACTCTCTTCTTCAATAATCTTACATCATTCTTTTACCCATTTTTCTCATCTCCCCCCCCCCCCCTCCACCCCAACTCTGCCCCCATCTCATTACCGTACTCCTTCTCCCTTGCAATCCAATTCCTCCACGCCAATCCTATGTATCCGTCAAATTCCGGCTCATACTCTCCCCAATCGATTCGGATACCATTTTAAACGACATTTTTCAAGTTTTCCGCTCACTGACAAAGTGTTGATATCTCTCCCGAGACGAGCAAGACACAGCGAGTCAGCCAAAGTGAACATTAGTGGCGTGTCATTGCGCATCAATTTATTGCTTTCGACAGCCCATTCCGCTCATGGCACAAGGGCGCAACAACAGCCATCACCAAGGGACTAGGAACTACTTTGAAATAAACACTTTTATGATTCCCTAGAGTTCTTTAATAGGCAAAAAAAAAGGGGTAAGAGTCAGAATTCATAGTGATACCGTAGTCATGAGGTTTTGGAATTTTGTCAATGAGGAAATTTCTATGAACCGCTAGAACTCTTTCTTTGCAACTTCTCAAAAAATGTTTGAATTCCATTAACCTAAGTAGCATCTGATTCTTTTGAACTGCAAAACTTTTAACTGCGTAAAAAACCTCAACCAGATTTACACTAGAAACCATTTCGTCTCCAAGACTGTTTTGAGCTAGTTACTCTGACGTCTACCAAAATGATGCATAAAAGACAAAGAAATCTCTGAATGCCTAAATTCACTTCCATTTACTTCCGTACAATTTACAATTTATTTTGAACAACTATACATGCTCCCTTACAGTTCAAGATTTATTTAAACGTTTCGTTTTGGATTCTGCAACTTATTCGGCTCTTCAGATTGATAAATTTACGAAAAAAAGTGTGATACACTCAAGCATGAAGATTATTCTTAATATGGTATACATTTTGAGCAGCTCCTTCAAAATGCCAAGTCCTCCCTCATTCATAACTACTTTTAACTAGACTATTTTGAGAAGGTTAAGAATGAATCAATACAGAACTTCAAAAGCTTCATGCAAATTCGTCATAAACGCAAGCCGTGGAAATAAAACGCAGAAGCATGGACGGTCTAAAGTTTCTTAGCAACCCGTATTCATAGGTATTCATCCGATAGGTTCTCCTTGGAAGGGAACTTGGCTAGAAGGAAAATACATTCCCACAACGCAAATTCTCGAGATCCGAAACTTTCCTTCCTCTTCAAGTTTCAAAATTTTCATCTCTCATATGTAGCGCATTAGCAACCCACCGTAACGTCCTCTAACTATATAACGTTAATGTGACGATCGTTAACTTGCACTAATACGATTAGACCATATCTCGTTTCAATGCGTTGCGCACCTCACGCTCAAAATTTCTGCTCATCGATTCGGTCTCTGTTGGTTCCTCGACCCATGATACTGTATTTCCTATAACTACCGTAATCATCCTGATTTTCAGGTGTGCTACTTCAACTAGTGAGCTGTTTGCAATGTCGACGTTGTGCGCACTATTTTCTTCCTCAGCTCGATCTTTTGCGAGGAAAACCTCATCATTTATTGGATCAAAGCTCAAAAATGGCATGGAATCTCGTAAGAAAGTTAATGCTGGATGCTAGAGCATTAGAAAGTTTATAAATCGATATTTTATTGATTTTTCACAGTCATATCTTCTTGACTAGTTGCCTCACCTAATTTCAAACATTACTAGTGATACGTGCTTTCAACTTTACCTTTATTTACCTATTCATTTCCCTTTCCTAAGGGAAAGTGCCATGCGGGATAAACTCCAAGATTTTGCCCTTTTATTACAATTAGGCCCAATAAAGGCCACAAATACGAGTTATTGTTTGTTCTGTGTGTTTCTCGGTGCTTAATAAAAATATTCTTACCTTTGGATCTTGTTTCTTGTACAACGGATTCTCCTCATCAGCATCAAAGAAGAGGTCAGTGGCGGTGACAGAAAGTGTTCCGGGTACGACGAGTCCTGGCGCGATTAGTTTTGCCGGGGTACTGTAGCTCGTCACTTCTGCAAGTTGAAGAATAAAGCAAAGCATGGTCATACCAATCAATAATCGATTATCATCAGCCAACAGGCTATAGTACGTTCACCGATTTGTTCGCTCATTGCCGCCAGCGTTAATCAATAATCGATCATCGCTAGTTAGTCATTACTGTATTCTGGCAATCGAATTCTTCGCTGATGGTCAACAAAATCTCGTATCAATCAATAATCGATTACCATGAGCTCAACTACGGCACTTTCGCATTCGATATTCGCTCATGGTCTATAAAATCTTTGAAAATAATTACCACCACCTTAAAACTACAGTATCCTCGCACTAAATTTTTCGTCTAAGCATAACTTGGTTATAAAAATCCTTGTCAATCAATAATCGATTATCAACCAGTCCTTACAGTATCCCCTCAATTTCGTTCTCCACCCCTGCATTGCCAGATTTACTAACAGCATCCCCTCATTTCATTTTTCGATTTCGTCGTTTGAGCAAATAAAAAATCCTATCAATCGATAATCGATTAGTACCAGCTTAGACTATACCACCATCGCATTCGTTTTCTTCACTAGTGGCCGGTAAATTTTCGTACCAATCAATTATCGATTACCACCAGCTAAACACTGAGTAATTCCGTACTTCAAACTCTTCACTAATTGGTAATCAATCTTTTTTCAATTAACTATCGACCATCATCAGTCAATCATACAGTTTCCTCCCTTCAGTTCTTCACGCGTGAACATTAGAACCTCCTATCAATCGATAATCGGTCATCACCAGCTCAACACTACCGTATCCCCGCACTGAATTTTTTGGGTTTTAACCAGTGCAACTGCACACATCTCAGCTGCACAGCTTATTACCGTAACCCCACGCGCAAGGTGTTCGCCCAATTTCTCAACGCGCTCTGCTGCAGCCATCTGGCCGTGTTGTCCTCGTTTCTCTCGCTCGCTCAAACGTTCAGCCCCAAACCTCGGGACAGCTTTTGATGGAAAACGATCGGTATAATAAGATGTAATACGAGGCATCGAGGTTAGTAATTGGCGCTTGTTGAGGGCATGGCCCTGTCGATGTCCGTATGACATATGACTTCGGGCAATCATAAGCCTATACCTTGTCTATTCACCTAGAAGACGTGGTGGGGCTAGAAAAAAAACGAGCGCGCAGAGCCAGTAACGAACGAACGTGTGCGAAGGGATTATAGCAGAGCCCGTGTGGATTATTTGCTAGACACTTCACTTCCTAACAAAGATGAAGGTATGCTTAAAAGGATTTCTCGAGTTTTAAATGATGGAATGGAGAATAATGGAACAGCAGCAACTTTTAGAGCAGAAAAGTTTGAGAGAAAAAGAAAGCAGTCAAGGGAATACAATTCATTCTATAACATTCTAAATAACTCCGATCAAACAAAATTTTACTGCTGGTCTATGAAATACATCGGTGTCATCAATATGAAAGCCACAAAAAAAAACAATTTTTTGTATTTCATAGATCAGCTTTCTGGGTAAGCCCCAAAAACACGCCTGGATCGAACTTCAATATGAGACTCGGCACAGGTGGCTTACAAGCAAGCTGGATATCGTTTTTTGGGACAAAAAGCAAGGAAATATCGTTTTTGTGGATCCGAAATTGGGTTTTTCGATGCGGATACTTCGGATAATGGTCAAAGGGGACATCGTTTCTGTAAAAATCAGGGGAGACTTCGTTATTTGCATTCTCGGAAAGCCACCTCGTACTAAGCCTTGCTCCAGAAAAAAATTTTGAACTTAAAACTGGCACTAAAACGCAAAAACTTCATAGATGATAGGGGGGAAGACAAGGTGCGGCAGGTACAGCTTAAAGGCAGTGTCTCACCAAAATTTAGTTGCCGAGATTTTTGCATTTTGCAAGCCTGTCGGACCTTGTCTAGCACTGTATGAGCTCAAAATCGCACGAAGTTCCCAAAAACCCCGTTTTCTGGAGGCCCCGCGGAAGCGACGTGGACGAGTTCTATCTTCCAATATCAGCCTCAGCCACAGTGGCAGCAGCAGAGGGGAGGTGGATGCCAAGTGGAGGGACATGTTCAAATGCGTATGGAGGGAGATCGAAGGAGTGTCTGCGCGTACCAAATCGCTCTCCGTGAACCACTTCGAGCGAATTTTTCTCAGCGTGGAGGGGGTAAAATTGAGTGGGACTTGTTGCAATGGCCTATTTAGAGGTCCCTGTAATAGAATATGTGAAGATCCGTGCGACCTCAACTTTGGTGAGACACTGCCTTTAAATACAGGAACCTCATCACATTCAATTTTATAAACAATTTTTTGATGAGTGTTCTTCTAATATTGATTTTGCATATTTATTGTCCTTCAGTAACGCTGCAATATTTTAACTGGTTTACCAAGGAATTCAACTCGAAGTAAGCAGGCCATCAGTTGTGCTGATTTTTCTTGCAAAACATGAAAATGAATGATGTCATTCGGACCGAAAAAGCAAGAGACAATTTTGCTACTATGGTCATTAGCTTACAACTGCGAAAAGAATGTAATTTTTCGAATTTTTTTCCACCACCATATATCATCACTCGCTTAGAAATTCACACTGGTCCCTAGTTTGCTTAGCAACAGCTTTTGATCACTATAAATTTCCAAGATTGCTTAAATTCATTGCACACTATCATACGAATGCAACATGATCCACTGGATGAGTGGATGACTTGATAATTGATGGGTGTGACAGCCGCGCAATGGATCAAACCGCCGATTACACTTAGCGAAACTTCTCAAACATTTGGGGCAAAAAGCCTAGTTACGAATTAAAATCACAATAAAACTTTGAGATAAATCAGAATATTCTCATCTGAACAAAAACTAGAATCTAAATTTCCTCTTTACAATTTTGGTCGCTTGTTTATTGTTCAGAATTTCCAAAACAGTAGCTATAACTTCACTATAATAGATTGTACTCTAAAATAAAGCTGTTCCTTTCATCGAGTCTTATAATAGGGCGACAGCTGATTGACTGTCAGCCATACGCACATTGAGCGAAGTGATTTAATTGCTGGCTGTTACTGAGTGTCGCATTACCGTAATGGGGCTAATGTTCCCTTGCGCCTATGCAGCCTGGGTAAAAGGATCTGAATGTGAACTATCCTACTATAATTGAGCAGTAAAGCCCTTAGATGCACTGTCATCCGAATTTTGACCTCCCCCCCCCTCCATTCCTCCTCTCTCCAACATACTCCTACTACATACTCGTATCGCCTTTTATTCAAGGACCTTTTCTTCAGCCTAATGCGCGATTTGATGTTAATTCGAGGCGACATCAAAAGACATTCATGAGCACCGAAAGTACTGCAAGGTTGATCCGAATGAATGGCACACGCTGAACAATGAGGTAATAAAAGTGCGAGTTCTTCCGATATAATCGCATCTTTTCATGCACAAAGATACGCATCTAACACTTCATGAGACAACGTCTCCTTCATGGACAAATTGAGACAAATTACACGTCATGAAGGGTAGAAACATGCGGGGACACATGGGTGGTCAGCTTTAAGCCACAAACTCCGATGACAATACGGATTATAAAAGGTGAATATGACACTGAAAGCTTAGCATAAGTAATTTGATAAATAAATTGATATACAAGTGAAGCACTATGTTGCCATATAAAGTTGACAGAACACGGCAGTAGGTAGCTCCTAGCAATTTTGAACACGCTATAAGAATATTTGAATTTACGATCCCTTCTCTGATGAAGGTGCCTTCAAAAGTGAAAACGGGTAAAGGGATTGAAAAGGGAGGAAAAGGACAAAAAACTGAAGTACTAGCAAATGTGATATCGTACTGGCAAATTCGAAATTTTCTAAGCGTCATAGTGAAGCGGAGAGGAACGGAATTGAAATGCTCTTGGACTAATACTAGGGAGTATACAAAGCTTCTTGAGAAATTGTTCAGAGAGAGGAAAAACAATTATGAATTTTTTTTGCGCCACCCCAACCCAAGTAGAGTAGGAGGTTGAAATGAAAGACACTAATGAATCCTTTGATTCACACACTTTCTATTCAAATTTTCATACGTTTCTTTTCGCCAATATTGCGCCTCAAACAGTTACAGAAGTCTATTGAATTTGGGCTTGCAACTGAGTTCATTAGCAATATTTTAAGACCTCCTAAAGCTCCTATTACTTATACCCTCAAAAAGATTTAAAGCTTTGGGGCATTACTTTTGCTAGGCCGTAAACGTTGTTTATGAAATCTAAAAGATTATTTTGATAGTGTTGACGGTCAGCACGCTAAATTACTTATGATAAGTGGTAAGTAAAACCCGACATTGGCTCAGTGTAACAAAAAGCTAAAATTCAAAATAATCAGGTTCATGTAAGCGCTTTTGGCCCAGTGTTCTTCAAAAGAATAGCAAGCACTTCACGCAAAATGGATGTACCTCTAGCAGGAATAATCTGATGAAGAGAAAGAATCTAGTGGTCTTTTGATAAGATTACAGTAGCATGTATCAAAGGCAGACGAACAAGAGCTAAAAACCAACCACTACTAGGCGTCGGGTCGACTTCGGCAGCCCACTTGTCTATGTCGCTTTCATCAACCAACTCCGATGATTGGCCTCGACCGGGTGCGATGCTAAAACATCAGTAACATTATCTATACATCGCTGCAATGATGGAGTAAAAGCGTAAAGTGTAAAGCTTACCTATTTGCTAACAATTTCAATTTCTCCTCTTCGGTTAGCTCTTTCGTTTCTTCTGGTACTGTGATGATGCTTGCCTCTTCATGCTTCGAGCCATAGACGTTCGGTACAAACCTACGCCGTCGACGGCTATCGTCTTCCCAAACGTCCAAACGCCAGAACAATTGCCTAAATCGGCCTACCATAAGCAAACAAGCCGAAAAAACGAATTTTAGCTTACTGTGCATCATCGCCAGAACTCCATGCTCCACTGGGACTTCTCAGTACGGTCATCATGTTTCCAAGAAGTTTCGCAGCAAGTCGGCAATCTCTTCGACGACCGTTGCGAATCGCTTGGGCCCATCGGTTTTCTTCTTCGCTTCGGATGTCCATATTTGTTGTAGTTTCGCTCTGAAACAAACCGATTGGATAAAAGCAGAGCGGAAAGGTGAGGACAGACCTCAAAATGTGCATGCTTGCTGACATCCTCTGCTCGGAGACGATTGAGGATGAAATCTGCTTCATTCGACACGCGAAGCACATGATCACGGGTGGCATGTGCCATGAGGCGACCTACAATATCAAAAATGTTAATGTCGCTTTTACCTTAGCAAAGTGGTAATCTAGAAACTATGGGAATTTTCAAGGTTTCAAAGCCTGCACACTATTTTATGCATGTATGATAATGGCGAAGGCAGACAAATTGTATTAAATTGTAGCAAAAAAGATGAAACTCAAATAGCCTTTTCAAAAAGCCAGAACATATGAGTTGGAACTGATTTTCAGGCAACAAAAACCGAAATTATTGAACATCAAGCAGTATACTTTGTTTTCCTACAAACACTTTGCTATCGAGAAGATGTTAGCAGAATAAAGAAATTTTCAAGAATACAGAAAGCAGCAGAGATCCTTCAGTTTTGGCAAAAAAAAAAGCCTCACCTTCGTTGACCAATTCGATAAATGCCAATCCGGCATGCTTCTGCAATGATGTTTGCCATTCCTGCGAGCATAACAGCATCACAAGCTCAATCACTGATCCTTGACGATTTTTCAGTGTTTCCAGGACTGAAAAATCACTTAATTTCCAAACATTTCCTCTGGAAAATGCAAACCTTTGCTGTCATTCATAATCTCTTGTCCATGCGTGCCAAGTAGCGTCTTCTGGAAGAATGATCGAAAATCTCCCATAATTTCTCGCAACAACGGTGCAGTTGTTTCCAAAGCTGTCTGTAGCTTGTTTGTTAGATACTGTCTTCGCTCAGCAGGCTGCGATGGGGTGCCAGACGCGGCGTTGTTGGCGCTTAATTTAGACAGCTCTTCAGCCTAAATAGAACAAAATCAAAAGATCTCGAAAAACTGAAAGAACTGCACTCTTACTTTGTATTCCTTCCCATCCTTTTTCATAGTTTCAGGCTCTACCATGATTGCCGAAATTGGTTCCTTCTTCTCCTCTTCCTCCTCCTCCTTAGCTGGTGCCTCTCCATTGGTAGTGACACCAGGTGATGGAGGCTTCGCTTCTGCAGTATCAGAGGCAGCAGTGGTAGAAGATCCAGGTGTGCTACACGCTTCCTCTACAAACATGCCGTTATTTAACACAGCACCAAACTACAAGCAGTTAAATGCAAGCTTCATATCTTTATTGTTAAAATCAAATATTAACAAACAAAAGATATTTTCAAAATGTACAGATATTCTTATCTGAAAAATGTAGGATTACTGCGAGCAAGACTGTGCTAGTGAACTTATACTTTTGCTCACTTCTATTGGTTGTCCCGAGAGCTTTTTCGATCTGATCGGTCACCAAAATTCATAGAACAGTGACCGCAAACGACTTCGGTATCACTCAGATCGAGAATTTATCCTCTTTCTGATAGCTATTTCCCATCTAATCTATGCACCAGCAATGTTATCACCAGGGTAAAGCGGGGGGTGCGGCACTCGACCGTCGGATACGACCCCCCTCCCCTGATTGCTGTCTTAATAAGACCCCCCTCCTAAACTATACGCTTAAGATAGTATTACCTGAAGGCTCTGTCAAACATAATGGACAACATATCCATAATTAGCATGTCAAATACCCCCTGTAGACAAAGTGTGAGCGAATTCTGAAGATTCAAGATACTAGGCTACCTAAGTGAAATGGTCAAATTCCAACATGGTTAACTTTGTTTTAAAGGTGAATTAGCTATCCGTTTTTGCACTCAAGACAAAGCACTACTCCTTCTTTGTCCACCTCAGGAATCCCGCTTCAGAAGACCTCCAAACTGTGGAATTAGAAGCCAACCAAAATCTCATTTTTCCCATTTTTCGCTTTTGATGGCTGTGCTTTCACCAAATATTACTCAGAGCTAAGAAGACGAATCAGGCTCAAAACATCCCTATGGAATCTACGAGGTTTAGGCTATCGATTCATATAAATATTGTCCGCTAAAAATGTTTTTTTGATATAGTTAATGGCCTGCGGCACCCCTGCGGCACCCCTGCGGCAGCCGCAGGTTTTGAGGGGGGGTGCCGCAGGCCATTAACTATATCAAAAAAAACATTTTTAGCGGACAGTATTTATATGAATCGATAGCCTAAACCTCGTAGATTCCATAGGGATGTTTTGAGCCTGATTCGTCTTCTTAGCTCTGAGTAATATTTGGTGAAAGCACAGCCATCAAAAGCGAAAAATGGGAAAAATGAGATTTTGGTTGGCTTCTAATTCCACAGTTTGGAGGTCTTCTGAAGCGGGATTCCTGAGGTGGACAAAGAAGGAGTAGTGCTTTGTCTTGAGTGCAAAAACGGATAGCTAATTCACCTTTAAAACAAAGTTAACCATGTTGGAATTTGACCATTTCACTTAGGTAGCCTAGTATCTTGAATCTTCAGAATTCGCTCACACTTTGTCTACAGGGGTTAATTGACGTGCTAATTATGGATATGATACGAATATCATGTTATCGCTATAATCAGATCACCTAACTACGACCCCCTCCCCTTTTGACTCCTCAATACGACCCCCCCCCCCCCTCTGCGGCGTGCCGCACCCCCCGCTTTACCCTGGTTATCACTATGGCTCTTTAATCTAACAGTGACCAGAGATCTTCAGTGAATTTTGAAGAAATTTCATATGGCATTCTAAAAGAGCGCTGGTCTGTGAGAGAGCAACTATACACCCTAAAGTCTTACAAATAAATCCGTTTTTGACCCACGTAAGTCCGCCTTATAGTTCCTTCAGCTATGTCTGCCCAAAAGATAACGCCTTTCTCCATTATAACTACCCTAAAATCTCGTCAGATAAGTCCGAAGACCGTCAGATAAGTCAGGACGTATCTGCAGACGGACATCTGATGGGAGACTCTATCTGTGGGCTTTAGGGTGGTAGTATCGAGAAAGCGTACATTAAAATGTTTTTAAAAATGTAACAGTCAGAAAGGGAAGAAAGTGTTGCTCGAGTGCATGTTCAAACAATTCCACGTCCTTATTTTACGAGGTTCTATAGCCGTTCAAAAAACGACAAAACTTTCGAGACAATTCAATATTTTCTTCGCAACTTCCCCAAGATAGTCCGAAATGTACAAAACAACCAAAAATTCTAGTCTTTAATCAAGTATGTGAGAAAATGAAACAAATCACTCAAAACATAAACAATATGGAAGCACAAATGTGAGTACAAAACCCACCACCATTTGTCGAGTTGAAGAATGGACTCGGAGTTACTGGTGGCTCTAGTATATCTCTATATCGAGATACCATAAGTACCGAGAGCAGGTAGACCACAGCAAGAGCAAGAAACTGCGCTTGACGGTTCTCTTCCTGAAAACAGCAAAAACATAAAATATGGGGAAAACCAAATACCAGCCCCTCACCACCATGTCCCTATATACAACTCCTTTTATTCTTTGCAAGTCCACATCTTGCAAAAGATGATCCAAGTCTGTTATTCCTTCTTTCACTTGCTGTAACGACGAACATACAGATATGGAGTTATGACTTGAGGTGATCTTACCGATTCTATGGCTCCCCTAACAAACTCATAGATTGCTTCATTTTTCGGGTTAGCATGTGGCTCAAAAGCATGTCCACTGCTGTCAGGACGTAACACTCGAGCTGTCAAGATATGCCTGACAGATGCTGTAGCAATGAGACGTAGAGACTGACGTAAAACTCCTCCTGATGGCATGTTCTTCTCCTAGACAACAGATCATTCTTCCACTGCAAGACAATTATGACAAGGTACCTGCTCCAACTCTGTGAATGATACACCACTGGCAAAAATGAAAACATCAGCGAGTTGAACAAATCTGGAGAGAAGGGTTGCAGCACAGTCTATAGGCAGCTCTTGTTGGCAAGCGTCCACAATCTCAAGTTCGCTCTGAATCAATAAATTTATTTTTAGAACTCGGATTTTTTGAAATACACGTCAAAAAAGAATCCTCAAGGCGAAGAGTGGCACATAGATTAAGGAGCATGACAAAATGGAAATATCACATATATATCATATAACCAACTTTCACAGCTTGCTGCCCTTTCTTGGTCACAAAAGGAAAATAAAGTGTAAGAAAACACCGAGCACAAAATTTAAAAAGCAAGTAGCAAAAGAAGGTAAGCACTTACATTTGGAGATGTTGCTGACGCCAAAAGCGGTAATAAACCACCGCAAGCCATGATGAGACTGTCAGCTAGCTGTGAGATGACATGCACAGTATTTCCGACGAAGATCTAGAACTTTCTTTCGACAACCTGAGAGTGGCGGAAACCGAATAACATCTTACCTGGTTCTCATTCATGTTACAGTAATCAGCTAAGGATGGTGAGTCAGTTCTGAAATGAACTCATACTCCATGTGCAGTGAATAAGTACAAGTTAAACTTACGCTTTCCATTCCTCAACCGTTGCCTCGATCCCACTCAAAAGGTCTCCAAGTAGGCGCAAATGGACAGTTGACCAACAGAACTCGGGTGTACGGTATATCGGGGTAGGCATTTCATCCGTGGCAGAAGTGCTTCTGAAGCACAGGGCAAAAACCAGTTTTATGCGTAAAAGATACTATACTCACTGCGTGCTGTCCCCAGCATCTTTCTTATCCGTTATGCTTTCCTTGGTGATTGTTGTAGCAGCTGGACTGGCTGTAACATCTTTTTGCTGTTGCCTGCGGAATCGTTCCCAGCTCACCTGCAAAAGTACAAGTACGATCAAACAAACAATGAATAAATGACAGTGATGAAATTGCAAAGCAGTGTTGTTCAAAGTTGAAACAAATAAAATTTGATATGGTTATGATAAGATTACCTTCGAGTGTGCTATGGCCAAAGTATCAACCCAAACACGCCATCCTCCATATTCGAAACGAATTGCGTGGTGCAAGAGAATAGCAAACATCTCATAGACAAGCTCTGTGATCTCCATCTAAACAGAACGAAATCAATATAAGTTGCATATAGCCGTCTAATCTCACTCTTACCTCTTCTGCATTTTTAGGAAAAACATAAGAAATCGAGATAAGCCATTCTTGCCAGACAGACATTTGCAAAATTGTCCTAAACAGGAAGCAAGTTCACTTTACCATCACCGTCACATGATGAAAGTCACCGAAATCTATGTGAGGGAAAGTCATTACCTTCGGTTATCTTTCCCATCCCTGCACATGTTGATAATATCGAGGAGGAAAGCCTTCTTCACTCGCATGAGTTCTTTCGATTCAGTTGATTGAGTGATCAAGTTTGCAATAACTTTCAGCATCATGGGATTCTCAAACCTGCAAATGTTACACTGACCTTCTTATGCATTGGCAGTACCATACAAAAAGGAGTTTTAATAATAATTTTGTGGAAAAAAAGCTGAAATAAGAAGTACTTACCTCCAATCAGGACTTGCTGCTTCACTCTTTGTATATGCAAGTTCGGGAGTCATTTGCTCTGTCAGTATCTCGAATAACACTATATACGTCGGTAAAGTCAGGTAGTCGGCATGTAGCAATAATCGCTCAGTGATTAGAGTGAAGAGATGACGAGCAGATACAGATTCAGTCTTTCTTCTGCAAACAAAAAATAGAAGCTAGTAGAGGATTTGCAATGGCAACAAAAATGAAATCAAAGGCGCTGCATTTAGCCCATAACAAGAACAGACATATGAAGATGGAAGAAAATTTGAAAACAGTCGTGCTCAACAGAAATAGACTTACTTCAATGTAGACCTCTGCAAGAAGAAGCCAAACATTTTCAAGGCTGGGATTCTGATAAGTTGATTGGGAGATGAAAGTAGTTTGAAGACCAGACCAACATCCTAAAAGCAACTGATAACAATAATGCAAGAAATTTGATTATTATTGGACATACTTTGTCTTTATCAAAAATTGGTACCATTATCTGGGGATAAAATCCTAGCAGCCGATTCAGTAACGCCAAAACATCGTAAAGGTTATCATCCTGAGAAGAAAAGTTAAAGCAGGAAGTGAGATAATTAGGGCGGACTCCTGAGTTTCGCTTACTTCGTGAACGGTGGCAACAAAATTCATTAACTGATGGATTTCTTGCTCTCTTATCGCATCTTGGCCGCTTCCAGCGTTGAGTAGAATTAGCCGATTCAGAAAGATGAGGATTGATCCCCTACAAAGATCATGACTTGCGGCAAGATCGGACACAAAAAAAATGGGAGCTACATGTATTACATCAACTGACTTGAGAAGCGTATTTTGGGTTCAAATTAAGTCTCGTGATTAATGTGAAAAGACTTAGATGATATCAGATTAGAAGTGAGCCAGAACTTAGTGGAATAAGTAATCTAGTAAAACTTGATATTTGACGGAGCAAAGAGTTGAGCAACCTATATGGTAACTTCCGATAGAATCAAGAGGCTAATTAAGCAAAAGTCTTGTCATTTGTTCAAAATAATAAGTTATCATTTGCTGTAGCGTAACCCACTAGGTAAACAATAAGATACCACAAATAAAAGAGAAGAAAAAGTTAAAGTACACGTGTAAACTAATTGAAAACACACCTAATTGAAATGACATCCTCATTTGGGAATGTACTGGATCTTTCTTCAACCTGAAAAAAAATATTTCAAGAATAGTGGGAGCAATAGATTTGTTTTAAATTGCAATACCTGATATGCGGATGGTGGCTTTGGCTTTGTTACCCAATAGTAGAATTTCAACGCATGACACATTTCACCAAATGTGGCCACTTGTCGAATGATATGGTGGAAATTGGTATTACCCAGAAAATCCGTGGCGAGATAATTGTACAAATGAACCTGATGCGAACGATGGATGGATATGGCGGTGTGAATCTAAGCAGTAGACTAACCTGAACGGCAGGTTCGCTGTTAATCCATAACTTTGGGTTGAACATAATATGCTCGAATAGCTGTTTAATCAGAGGACCGCCGGATGAGCATCGTAGTAGGAATTTTGCCATGTCGATGACTTGTTCCGCCACTTTCATAGTAATGTGTCTGCTCGAGGCCTAAATTAATGTCAACAAGATACATAATTCGTTTAAAGGCAGTGTCCGGGCAGAAACTCGATTTTGAGATTTTGTGCTTACTTGGGCCTATTCGCTACGCTGAATCCGAAAATGCACTTTGTAGAGCGCGAAAATGGCGAAAAATGGCTCTAACACAGGAGGGAAATGAGCAGGTGGGCGGGGCTTTCCCCAGTGCGATTTCACGTTCCCGACTTCCGGAGCGACCTTCTCGCTTCCTGTTTCAAGTCAATCATTCGCACTTGACCGGTAGCGATGTTAGGACGGCTAGCAGAATCGAAAAAATCGCTCCGGGAGCCGGGAGCGTGAAATCGCACTGGGGAAAGCCCCGCCCACCTGCTGATTTCCCTCCTGTGTTAGGGCCCTTTTTCGCCGTTTTCGCGCTTTCCAATGTGGATTTTCGGATTCAGCATGGCGAATAGGCCCGTATAAGCACAAAATCTCAAAATAGAGTTAGAATACAGAATAGACACTGCCTTTAAAGACTTCCAAAAAGCTACCAATAATTGCCGACGAATTTTGCAAATGATAAGCAATAGAAACGTTGAAAAAAGGAGCTCAATTCACCTTCTGCAAGGCGTGACCGATGATCAAAAATCCTTTGCTATGGTAGAGTTGCTGCTGTATTGTCTGTGAACTGGACAACAGTAGGGAGATAAGCGAAAGCAGGGTGGAGCTAAAATATGCTTCTAGCAAAACATATCTTGTGAAGCCTCGACAACAAACAGAAAAACAGAAAATCATCAAGGAAAAAATAGAAACTGTAAAGTAAAAAGAAAATTTGAAATTGGGCATGTATACTACAGCAAAGTACAAATATTATGAGTTGGGAAAATGAAAAGGAAAAACAACGTAAGCTCAAAAAATTAGTAAAATATAACATACCACATATCGCCATCCATGGCCGTTCCATCCTCACATGGAAGATCAAGCTGTGAGAAGAGTGGGAGAAGTATTTGTATGCCACCAACTGATCGCAACGAATTATGTATAGAATGCGTAGTGATAACTTCGACACCCTGAAAGGGTTTGTATGTTATAGCATTCTTTTTTCGCTGTTCGACACCTAGCCTCAAGACTGATCTTCAAAAAGACAAAATGTTTGAAAAAAGGAATATGAAAAGAAGTAAAAAACGAAAAAAGGCGTTAACAGTTGAGATATCTAGAGTAAGGGAACGGCCATAGGTTGTCAGTGTTGTCGGTGTTGTCGGGGTTGCGAGGTTGCCGGTCGTCGTAGGACCTATGATAGCCTCCACGTTTCGCGCGCTCTCTAAACTGTCTCTGACACCGACAACACCGACAACACCGACAACCTATGGCCGTTCCCTAAGCCTTACCTCTTTCATAACTGCATGTGGTACTTGAACGAAGTATGTTGACGGAATTTTTGATGGTGAGTTTAGACACAGCTGTCCGTGACAATTCTTCGGACAGTATGCCATCACCAGAACGCTGCTCAATCGACCATCAAACAGATGCTGAACTTAAGAAAATTTGCAAAAAAAGTAACCATAACTGCCTCACATACCTTTTTATAGCCGTCAGGTAACGTACTTCCCGAATCGTGCACGAAATACGATTGATAGCTAGGTCCCAAGCAAAACAGTGAGTTTGCTTGTTCCAACGATAATGAATCCGCAAACAAGTACACTGCACCCATCTGTCCACAGAAAGCTGTATCCGGATCTCCTTCAGGCGATACACCGACAGAGCAGCGATCGAACTGCTCTGTTGTTGATACAGCCCTAGAATGTTTAAGTTGTGGATTTATTAAAAAACTATAATACATCATCATCCTCAGATAGGATGCCCGCAGTTGATGTCTCCAGAGAAAAAAATTGATAATCAAAAAATCTTTCATCCAGAGATCCAGAGAAATTAATCTAACAGGACTAATAAATACGAAATTCTCCCAAAAATAGGAGGAAAAGGCCTCAATAAATAGCTGAAGTCGTATACCATTACAAAAAGTGGAGAAGACTACATAAAATTACACAAACATTGAACCCATATCAATGGCGCATGGCCTCGAACATATCGGAAAGAGTGCGAAGGCACTGACAAGGGAAGTTCACTTATTCGAAGTGGCGATTCGGAAGGAGATCTATACCAGTGGATAGAGCTCAAAAAGCTGATCTAAGATGTACCTTCTATATCTGCGATGCGCTGTTCTGAAAAAAGTTATGAGCTTTTCTAGAGCCAAATTTTCGTGCATTTTGAGTCGCATGATCATGATAATCGCTATACAAAACTGTGCAAGCTTAAGCAAACCACCTAGTAAGTATTGTAGGTCTAATTCGACTTCATCCGAACGTTTCGAGTGTTTTCCGACCATGTTGTTCATTCACAGGCCGTCATTTGCTTCCTTTATCACATTTCCGTTATATAAACAAAAAAGCATAACCTCCATCTAGAAGAACGCGCCGCAGATATTGAAGATATATTTGAGAACATCGTTTTACGTTCTATCCACGGGTAGTTTCCAAAAAAAGTTTCCGACGCGACGCGTTCTTTTGATTGGAGATTATGGGGGTTTTTTTGTATACATAATGGAAGTGTGATAAAGGAAGCAAATGACGGCCTGTGAATAAACGACATGGTCGGAAAACACTCGAAACGTTCGGATGAAGTCGAATTAGACCTACAATACTTACTAGGTGGTTTGCTTAAACTTGCACACTTTTGTTGCGACTCAAAATGCACGAAAATTTGGCTTTAGAAAAGCTCATAACTTTTTTCAGAACGGCGCATCGCAGATATAGAAGGTACATCTTAGATCAGCTTTTTGAGCTCTATCCACTGGTATAGATCTCCTTCCGAATCGCCACTTCGATTAAGTGAACTTCCCTTGTGAGCTGTTCCCAAACTGAAAACCATAGTACTGGTCACTGATGTCCAGTGCGAAGGGCAACCATAGTAGCGCTGATTTAATTTTCGAAAAAAAAAATAGTAGACACAAGCAGCTCGCATTTTTCAGCAACATATTGCAAAAAAGCTTCCGATTCCTCCTACAACAGAAAGAACCCCACTCAATTTGATGGACCTCATAAAAGAATCTTTTACTCCTCTCTATCTGAAAAAAAAACTACTATGGTGATGGCGCTTCCGAGTTCAAGGTAAGTCATACAATCCATTTATTCCCTCATCTCATTACGGGATATGCGTTCGCCAACATATAGCAACCCATTATTGAAATGAATTAACCGCTGTTTGGCTCATACACACGTCACACTCGATCGATTTGCGGCATGATGAACAAAATGCACATTTAGAAGAAAAAAAACTTCTATAAGCCTATGCAAATTTGAGGAAATTATGCAGAATAATTCCAAATATGAATGGCTTGTAAGAAAAATTAACATTTTCTGTACAATGCGAATGAGAATGATAAAAATAGAGAAAAACAAAGAAAATGGACGGATAAAGTGAAAAAAAAACTATGTTTTGATGAACGAACTAATAAAATATTTTTAAAAACTCAAAAAGAAAAAAATACTGCAAAACCAACGAAGGTAAAGCAACTGACCAGCTGATCTCGGCCGTTTCCGACAACTCTCCATCAAAGTAGAATCTTATTTCGCTTCGACCCCATCTCGAATACGAGTGCGAAATAGCAACATGATGCCATTTTCGAGGAGTAAGTTCTTTCTGGAAACCAAGACAAAATTCCGAACGGGAAAGATGGGGGTCTTCAAAACGCTCACCTTGGTACAACGTGTTAAAACTTTCCCTTTGGTCTTCTCCATTGTGACTACAAGCGCGTTACCCATGAAGTAGCAAGAGTACCCAATTCCTTTGCTACTTCGAAAGCTGGAAAATGGGAAACATAACGTAATGAGGGTATCCGACTTCATGCCACTACTAACCAATACAAGTAAGGCCGCTCCTTTTCAAAAAGTACGCTGCTCATCGGATCCATCCTTAGCCAAGTACTAAACGTCCACCCGGACTGGCAGGGGAACTTTGCAAAAGGAGGAATAATGATACCCTAAATTTACGGCAGATATGTGAAAGGTGAAGAAAACATGACGGGTATAGTTCGAATAAGGAGAACACACTGACATAAAAAAAACTACAGCGTATAAGAAACAGGGTTCTCACCGCTTGTGATTTTCCTGGAAAACTGAAGAAAACATTCGCATCGTCTCGTATTGGCATTTGCTTCATCACTTGTAACAATTTCAAAGAGTTTCTTGGCTAAAAGTATAAACTATAAAAAACAAATGCTACTGAGTATGAAACTGAAAGAAAATAACTACTTAAAAACAAAAACATTCAACCGATAACTCACCCAGCAGTCGTTTACAGCCTGTAACGAGCGCAGGAACTGTTTCGTTTCCTTTACCGTTATAGAGTAATTTGTCAAAACTCCAAGTAACTGTACAAGAAGATCAGAAAGCATTCCTTGAGCATTTGGTAGCAAGTCAAGAATCCTGAGTCAGTAATGGTTACAAATTCAGAAAACCGTGATTATGGAAAAGACGTACTTTGATATGAGTGAAATCCTCGAACATGCTTCCAAATTTCGCTTGCTTTTCCTTACAACTGCAAGAAAAACGCTCCATATTTCAGCCTAGAAACAGTTAAAATGCAGGATACAATGATACAGAAAATCATACTGAACGATGGCCCAGCTAAGCATGATTACCTGAAGTGTTTCGTCTGAGTGAGTAAGCAATGTAAGCATCCGTTCAATATTACTGGAGTCTTCAATAATGTATCTTGTCTCCAAGTCAAACTGTCCTCCAACAAGCTGCAAACATTAGAGTAAACAACAACATGACTAACATATTATATTCTGTATCATCCAAGAAAAACCATGAAGTCTTCTATGCTGTGTCTGATCTCCTCAGAAGCAAGATTATTCTAGTCGAATACCTATAGAATAGCATGTGAAATTCATTCTAGCTGCACATGTACTATTGTAGAACGCCACATTTGGGCAAAAAGCTCAGAAAAGCTAAATCGATAGATTTCACTCTAGTTATGTCGTTGCAGAAGTAAAAAATATGTCCATGGTGACAAATGGAGGCCGATAGCCGGAAAAGTGCCACTTGCTGCGAGATTTTTGCACCACTCTCTGCAGTGGGCAAGAGACTCGTGAATGTAAGCCACTACTACTACTACATGAGGCAAGATAAGATGAGAGGCGAGATTCTAGATAAAACATCTCCACAAATGCATGGGTGAAAAAAAACAGAAAATCTGGAAATTTACCAACAAACAAATAACGAAAACGCAAAATATTACTGAAAACTCACAGTGTTAAACAGCTGATCTACTATTTCGCTTTTCTCCATGGATCCATCCTTGATGCCTCGAATTAGCCTTTCAAATGTTTCTTGTGGCGTTTCATCGCTGCTATGTATAATAGTGGTTTTTGACATAATCCTCGGTAGGGATGCAACAGATTCCGCCTGAATAATTAGATTGTGCAGTAACAGACGAAGTGCAATGTGATTATAGGGTAAGTGACCAGGATAATGTCGGGTAGGGGTTGTAAGCACGTTAAAATAAATCTTTCACAAGTACAACCACTTCAAAATGAGCGGAAGCACGACACAAGGCAAAATTAGCAGGTCAGGCAGTTCCACCAAGATTTACGCGCGAAGCGCCCGATGCAAGCAAATGACCAATGAAAAAATGTAATAGCAATTCGTGGTAGACACTCTACCATGCTCAAACGAACTGAGCGATTAGAATGGAACTGCCTGAATAACTGACCTCGACCAGATTAATGGAAGAGCTCAAGCACCCAAGCCAGGAGGCAACGTATTTATGTGAATTCATGTTAAAAATGGAAGAACTAAAGACACACGCTGACGGGTGTAGCAGCTCTTGAGTCGCGTCGTGCAAAATTTGCAATACTGCCGCGACGACTTGCTGGAACAGAGGGTGATGGCGTTGTGGACTGAGTTAGGTCCAACTCGATTTCGTCACCAAGCGCCCCAGATGCATCGCTCAGTATCTCCATAAGACGTGATGGAAGCACAACCTGAGACAATAGGAAAAACGCATGCAATAACGCATATGTGGTATGAAAGGACATGTGACGACACATGCACGACAGAGGAATTTAGCGAAAACCAAGGAAAGCAAAAAACTCATCTCCAAAAAAAACAACGAAAAGACGCAAGGGAAAAATCGAAACACAAGTCAGAGAGAGGAAAAAAGGCGTACTTGTAGCACAGTTCCTTCAGGTACAGGTTCAAGTACTGGTGTGTCCGGCTTAGTATCATCTCCAGAAGTAAAAATATTATTTTCTAATGAGTTCGGCACACTAAGGTTTGCCATTGCCGGTGGTGAAATCATCGTCTGTTCACGTTGATTTGACACGCTTTCAGATGTGGAGCTGTTAGGAGATCGAATAGTGGTAGATGCGGACTCGTCTCCTAGAAAACCGAAATCAGCTTTGAAGTTCAAAACACCTATCTAGTAATCGTAAACACTTTATATATTCTGGAAGATACAATCAAGTATTTCTTTTGCACAGCAGCAGTTGATTGTGAGCGTGTGGAAAGGGAGGAACCGGGAGAGCAATTTTGGAATGAGAAATAATCAGTTCCGAAATGTAAATCCCAAATTCAATCGAACGTTACAAATTGTGAGAAATGTGTTGCCACGTTTCCCAGGCAAGAACATTACCAGCTTCCCCGCGCCGATTACATGTGGTTTAAATAAAAATATATCACGTTTCTTTAAGATTTAATTTGATCAACCGCAGATTCAAGCGCAAGTCAAATTCAATGAGAAGAAGAGTAGCGGTAGGAAAGGATTGAGAAGGAGATAAAAAGTGCGTCATAGCAAATACTTGGATTTGAGCCGAATGTCTCAACTTTTTTTTGGAATTTTTTTCCAGTGGTAATAATTGTAGGTAGATATGTGAGGACAATATTCTTGATCGATAGGCTACTAACTGAGATGCTTAAAAAGGCTGTCGAAAGCTTTTCATCACAAGGAAGAAGACAGAGAGAAATGGTGGCCAGCATGCCGTGAAGTTCATGCTGACTAAGACAAACGTTTCTCCAGCATCGAGTCACATTCATGAGAAAATAGCAAATTATTCGGTGCAGCAGCATAACCATGACACTTGATGGATACAACGGAGCATGGTTGCACTTTCGGAGAGATCTCGTTCATTATTGGGGCTTTAGAATCGATTCTTGTAACGTTTGCTAGCGTGGCACTCGGCAAACGTGGTACCACGCGAGAGGAAATCAAACAATCGATGAACAAACATGGATGATACTTACTAATAAATTTGCTATTTCAAGAATGGCACAGAATGCACCGTGAACTATAGAATGCTTATGATGACTATTTCAAATAATTTATAACGGTAAAGGAATAATTCGCGGGATGAGAAAAAAAATTAAAATACTTCAAATAGGAATAATTATAAATTGGGAAGAAAAGGTGTGGATGCAAAATGATGTAAAGAACAGTGCAAAAAAGAAAGTTGCACTGTTCTCTACGCCATCATCGAAAAAAAAACGGTCAAAGAACGGCAAGAAAAGGATTAGTAGGGGCCCTAACGAGAAAGAAGTCTTTCTGAAGTGGTTGTCCTACTAAATGAATTGCCCATTTCGATAATCCTTTGATGATTAAACAATCACTTTGAAGAGGTACTTGAGCTTGTCAGACAATAAGGGGAAACCGATAAATGTCGTCTGCTCTATCGTTATGACTCAAAGTGAAAAAGCAAAGCAATTAAGTGCTGAAAAATTTAGTAATGGTTACCTCTGACACCGTCATGATCAATTTTTATATCGTCCATGTGTTCATCAGTCAGTGTTGAAGGGTGGGCGAGTAGATTGTCGGCACTACAAAGACAATGCATAGAGAAGCTAGTGGCACAGAATTCGTAAAAGATAGTGGCTAAGCATGAAATCTAGCGTCTTTTCGAGAAAAAAATTTGTATCTATGGACACGAACGACCTTGCATGATAGCGGGAAATGTGAAATCAATTAAAGAAATTTCGTTGCGTCTCTCACCCGCATTCCAACGGCCCAGATGACGGTGGTGAGTCATGTTCGCTTTGTTGAGAATTGTCTAAGGCAATGGAATCCATTTGTTCATACTCATCCGCCTCTTTTTCTATAGAATCACTGAAAAGGAAAAGTTCTTGATCCGTACACCACTTATAGCGATTCCAAGAAGTTTTTATGTTGAAAAAACAATCAAGCCAATTGTTAGCCCCAAAATTCACCATTTATCAGGGCCTAGTCACAACACACAAAAAGCAACATTCTAAAATTTCTCGGAGATAAATAAGCAAGCATCTTACATGAAAGTGAATATTTCAATAAAAACTGTTCTAATCAGATGTTCTGAAGCTTTCAGCATAATCATAAGAGAAGATAGGACTCAATTAGGTTAAAATCGGTATAGCTTAGCAGTAACGACTATTCATAAAAGTCTATTCAAACTGCTTTATGGCACATGAATGAGAATTTGAATAAAAACAGCGAACTCTTCACTAGTAATAGCAAATTCTATTCCACGCACACCTGGTGCAGTGCTATATATACACTGTGAGTACACGGTTGCTGGAAAGCGCACCTGCCGTTTCTACACTCTAGTCGATGCTATAGCGCTTCAGCTACCTCTTTCAAATGCAATGGCTTTATGATTACGCTCTTATGCATGCGATGGGGTTCATACCTCAGAGATTAGGCAAAAACATCCTTCTCCATGGTGAAAAGTTGCATAATCAAAAAAGGGAAACTTCGCTAAAAGTTCATCAATTAAGCTGATTCTACTGTATATCATAGCTCGAAATGTTGAAGCTTTTCTCTGACTGCAAAACCGTTCCGAGATGTCAGAAGGGTTTTGCATGGGCGATGTCGAATTAGAACAGGTAAATCAGCCCAGGGATCATTGGACTATTTGTTTATTGCATGCAGAAAGTGAAGCAATGGCAACGGAAGGTTTTCAATGATGACAGTAATTTTTGTCTGGTAAAAAATAGATAAAATTAAGATCTGCAAACCGCTGCTAAGTTGGGAGTTGGGACTACCAGTTTCCAGCACCTTCTACCTAATCCAGGTTACTGGGCAGATGAACACGAAATTGTTAGAAAATATTTTTGAACAGAATTTCACGTGCATTCGCTCGCATCAAATGAAAAAAAGGCGATGATCTACTCAACAATAAAATAAACCGTTAGCTAATCCAACTACTGTTATGCAAGTACAAAGTCTCCCTTTTCACTCATATATTTCCTATAGATTTTTTTGGTAAAAGCAAAAAAAAAGAGCCTAGCAGAATCAAATGTGCAAAAGCTCTCTCGCTACATTTGAAAAGCAGTGGCTACACTGCGGTTAATCCGAAAATGATTTATGCTGACTAGCGCAAATGTCACAAACGCTCGTGCCTTATTTGGCCTGGAAAATCTCGTACTCAGAGCCACGTTTCCTACCTATAATTCAAACAGGGATAGTATGAAGGTAAGTTACATCTAGAGATGTCTTGCAGAGTTAAATGACTCTGAAACGTTGTTATCAATAGCTTCACTTCACCACAAAACATTTATGCCCTGAATTTCTTGTTTTGTGTCGCAGTTTGACAGATTGGATAGCAAGATGATGACATGCAACGATCGATTGTGCAAAAAAATAAGTTATGCAGCCGCTCTTCCCCATATCAATCGAAGGCAAAAAGTCTTTGGAGGAAAATGATAAACGAAAAGATGAAAAGGATGGCAAAAAAGGCTGGATAGAATAAAAGTAAAAAACACAAAACTTACCGAGGATCATCCAACGAGATTTCATCTAAGTTTTTTAGAATACCGTGAACAGTGGGGAGGGCGGCTTCACTTTCGGGTATATCTGAAGAATGAAATTTAAGAGCTCATAAAGAAGCAACTCACTGCATCAAGTGACAAGATAAAAATTGTTTTTGTCTTTCTCAACCTCCCGCTGGGCTCTCGCCCAGCCCTTTTTCCAAGGACAAAGAATATTCTTGCAGAAAATAAGTCTAGGGAAAGAGAAAAAAGTGAATAAAGTCCTTTGTCAAATCCTCCCTTCCATTTCTTCAAATATTTGTACATATGCGGTAAGAAAATTATAGGGGTGATGGAGAAATCAAGTGGGACTGCAGTTAGCTCGAATTCAACAAAAAATGAGGTTGATAAAAAATCAATGGAAGAGTGGTCGGACTGATTTCGAGCAGCTCTGTAAGGAAGTTCTGCTACTTGGGGTGACAACATAAAGTGCAAAATCCTCGAGTCCAAGCGTTTTGCACTATTGTTAGCTTCTTTCAAGAAGAAATAGAAGGAAAAACCATAAACAAAACGGTTGAGTCCAAGGATTCAAATCTTGGAAGATGCTCTAGAAACGTGCGAAGGCGCTTATTGGCACTTTTGATTGACGGAAAATTTCAAATTTAGTGATTTTGCAATAAAATTAGAACAACAAAAACTTTCTAAGTTCGTAATGAACAAACTCTTGCAACACTGAATATAGATAGGGTGTAACAACTTGAATAGATACAGCTTTTCAATAACAAAAGATAAGTGTGTCCTTCACCAGCAAAAAATGCTTTTTCTACAGCATCAGCAAACAATAGAGTGCCCTTTGTTTTGTTAGCACAGCCCAACATGATTCACTACATGAGAGAGAAGATACACAAATGTGAAAGTGATTATAAAACTTGTAAATAGCAGAAGACGAAAGGTCACTAACCGTTAGCGATTTCCACATGGTTTGATTCACTTTTTCGTCTATCTAAAACGGGACTCTCACGCGTTCCGGTGTCCATACCCGATCAAGCGGAACCACTGCTAAAAGAACTGGACAATTACTGGTTATTAAATGACCAAGGTATGCGGAGAACAGGTTTCGAAGTACATAACTCGCAACAGTGGGAAAATTTTGGGATTTTGAGATTTAAATATGGTTTTGAAGCAAAACTCAAAAATGGCTGCATTTATTTTAGGTTAAATTGACCGAGCAACTTCTGAGTTGGCGAGTTGTCAGGTTGAGAGCCGCGGCTAGAGACTTAGAGTAGGTAGGGTGAGCGTGCAGGCGACGAGACACCGGGCCCCCTTCGAACACTCAATCACACGGGCGTCCCCGTCTATAGGAAAGAGAGAAATCACTGCCTTAGCGACGACAACTCGCTCGACGACAATGCTACCTCAAAGATCGCGTCAAATGCTGAGTCTTATAAAGCATTTACCCAAGGTAAACGGGGCAAGGTAAGTTTACTCAGGTCATCATGGAAAAGAATACAGAAGAACGTCTACAAATTCACAGTATGCACTTACAACGATGTTGCGAGCAATCTGATCACAGCAGTTGGCGATAGCGCTACTGTAGGGTTACGGTAAGGGTGCGGTAGCAGTAATGGGCATGAAGTATCGATATACAAGCATTGTTTTTACTCTATGCGTGTCGATAATCACATAACTATGTTCTGGATTATAATAGCCTTAGAATGTAGTCATAATTGACGATCTAACAAAAGTTCAGCGAAGGAGTTGCGGGAAGGGAGGGGTGAGAGAGGTTTTGGGGTGGATATAAAAAACTTATTACTCTCTTTCCATCTATACATAGAAGACGTTTTCCCTGCCATTCCTAAAAAAATTTCGCTTCCATAGTAAGTCAACTTTATGCCTAGCACCTCGATATCAAACATGCATCGAAGCCTACCGTATACCTACAGTACCATGCATACTGTGGGGGCACATAGCATAAATAAGTTTTCGAGACTTATATTCTCTTGTTTTTAGCTGTCATCAGCCGTGACTTTGCATTAGAAAATGTCTACCCACGCAAAGAAACGCACAGAACTGTACCGTATATCTACAGTACCGCTACAGTCTACTGTACGGGCATAGTGCCAATTTCGCGTGGCAATACTTGCATATCTCCGCGCTGAGCATTCGCTACCCGTGAATGCAAGAGCAATTCGCTACCCTTAACTGCAAATTAGAGAAAAATGCCCCCCCCCCCTCACCTAAACAGGTTTGAACCGTACTAGCTGCACCCTGCTGGGTTGCCAACCAAATGCTGAAGGATGAAAAATGAAAGCGAGGAAGAATGTTCTCAAATTGATCTGGGTTAAAACCCAGCATTTAAGGGCTCCTCCATTATCTTCATCATTAGAGCGTAAAATTCGTCATGGAAAAACCTTTCAATAGGAAAAACTTGCAGATAATTATAATGGGAGAGACAAAGGCGTCTGGAAAGTCTGCTGACGTTTAGACGTCGCGGTTAAAAGCAGCTAGAGACCCATCTACGTTCAATAACGATTAACTCAAAATAATTGAACAAAATATGGATGTTAACCTTCAGCCACACCTAAAGGATAAGAAAATTGGATATTTTGAGATAAACAAAAAAGGACAAGAAAATTGATTTTGAGATAAACAACGAAAAAGAATACTCGCCGCTGTTGCCCTAAATCGAAGGACACTTGTCGCAAAGTTCATCTGCTTTGAACATGTGGCAATCTTGCGGGGAATCTGTGCAGCTCATCAGAAAAAACACAAAGTTGCAGAAGTCAGCAGAGATATGCAAGTGCATATCTGGAGAAGTTGCGCTTAGCGTCTAGCAAACCTTCACGAATGAATGAACTCGAAGAAAGCTCGACTACGCCAAGCATCGCAACATAACACGCACTTCCACACATCGATTATAATGTAGTATTCGCTAGTGCAAACGAAAAACTACAAAAACTGTTGCTATTGAAGCATACGCCATAGTTGATCCACTTTATTCACTCCATCCACTTATTGACATCTTTTACCAAAAGGGCAGAAGCTAGTGGTCAAATTAGTGATCTGAACAATAGCGGAGTGGATCAAGTGGATCAAATGAATTGGATCAACTATGGTATGTGTCTAAAAGAAAAAACAAAGAAAAAAAAGAAATAACAAGCGCTGTTGCTGAATTTTGGTCACTTGGTGCAATTGCACATTTTGTGCTCGTTTGGCGGCAGAGCACGCTGCAGTTTAGAATTGCGAAGGACCTGCCATACAATTTCTTTGATTCCTGCATTTCTTGCGCTACCGTGACTCCTGCGGGTCCCGCAAGGTATATTGCGAAAAAACAATGTACATATACTGAATTTCGCAAAGCGTTCCATGGTGCGGCACATCGAAAGTCGAGGAATCACTCGTGACAATGGCGGCGACCGCGCGTGTCGCGTCGGCAAATATGTTCTCTTTATTTTCCGTTCAAAGCGATGTTTTGAAAGTCCTAAGTCAACCCATGCGTTTGCATTCTTCCGCGACTCAAACCGCATAGAAACCGCGTCGCAGCATTGACCGCAACTGCGCACGTGTCTCTGATGGAGCGAACGAAATGGCGACAAAACGATGAAGCGAAAAGATGGAAAGGTTTTCATGCTGAGGAAATTGATTTGTATCGATTCAATGCAGCCTGGAAGGAAGATCATTTCTTAAGACATCAATCGACTATTTGAAAATAAAAAACTGGAAATGTGTCCGTAAAATCAAGGTGCAGAAAGGGAATGCTCTGGAAAGTAAGCGTTCTTATCTGACTTACCTCCACCTTGGGGAAAGTCACATGAATATCAAACGTGCACATGTGAATGAGTTGCTAATGAGCTAAGCCTTATACGAAAAAAATTCGTAGTGAAACTTTTTTTTCAGGTAAGAGAAATCTAATTGTCCTCATACCGCGGTGAATCTTTTTGTGAAAGCAGAAAAAAGAAATAAAAAAAGTACATTTGTAAAGAGAAAGACAGCTAAGAGAAAAAGCTAAACGTATTTCGATTAATCGCGCTATCAAAGTAAGATGATAAGCGTCGAGAAGCTAACTTCTTTTTTTTCTTTTGAGATAACGAATTCTTTTCTCCGATCACTCTGATCGTTCCTCATGACAGAAATGAAAGGTTAACGCCTTGAATTCTTTATGTTTCAGTAAAAAAAATAAGGCCTTGTACATCCCTTATGGCAACGAATGGAATGAAGAGAAAATTCCATAATTTACATTCAAAAAAATCAAACGTAGTCATGTTCATATTCCTTCATTGCACGTAAAATAATAGTTCCTGTGAAAAGAGTAACAGGAGACCAATACAGTGTACAGAAAAGAACAGAATAGGGAAAAATAAAAAGGACAAAAAGAAAGCAACAGGATAAGACCAATATTTAGTAGTGGAGTTACTCTAAACGATCTTCAACTTTTTTCAAGGTTCTTAAATTATTTAAAAAAATTAAGAGCACTCTATACTTAATTCAAATTCGCTAAACCATAAAAAGAAGCAATTCTTGGAAGTTAGGAGATATGTAATGGTTACTGATAAAAGAAAATTATCGACATTTTTCTGTGATAGTAAAGAGATATGCAGAAATTTTTCATGTATTTCTTTAACAATGAAAAGGATTTTTTGGAATTTTGTGTTTTTTTTTTCGAATCCATTGAAAGTTAAAATGAAAGATGTAGAGCCGCTCCGTAAATCTGCTGATGACTAGATAGTTTATTCTGCTGAGTGGGTGAGCTTGAGCCAATTACCCCTCAAAAGCAAGTAAATAAATAAATGACAAGTTTGAACAACAATAAGCAGCTTCCTACCGCAATAAATCATTCCCCGTTGAAGAAAAATCAAACGACTACTAGTTGACCGGAGAAGTAGCAACACTGCTATTAGATGGAGGGTGTCAAACTAGGAGAGGCGAGATCGATGAGGGGGAACCGATGACATACTTTTTCTACCCCCGTATGTGTCGCAAAAGGGGCAAGGCACAAACGCATCGAATAAATAGACCAAGAAAATGCTGAAAATTTGCTCAAAAGCGTTTTCGAAGCTCCTTTTCTGTTTTTAATGCTTAATGAGGTGAACGTAGATGTTGAATATGAGTCTGACTTGGAATTTGTTTTGTAGCAGAGAAAACAAACTTCAAAATACAACAGCAGGCCGCTGTTGCACGAAATGTTCTGCGAAAGCCGATTAATGCAAAACATGACGTTTGTCCTGCATAACAGATGACTTTGACATCAAACTATGTTTTGAGCCGCGTTCATAAAAGGAAAGGGCAGAAAGGAAGAGATTATTGTGCAGAAATTTTCTACTCGCTTGTCAGAAAAACCTACCACAGTTGTGGCTGAATACTCCACTTACTTAAGAAGGATTTCAGTCTCAAAATTCATTCACAATTATTGATTCACTGTGGACCAGATCTTCACCTTTTACTTCTTTTTATACATAGGTTGTTTATAAAGGTCTTTGCGCATACAGGAGACAACACTCATACAAAAAAGCAGTATCCGGCTCTCAGCTCAGTTACTTTCAATGTCTAAATACTGTCATATGTAAGCACAACCATTTAAGTAAAGAGGAAAACCAAGAAAATGCGGTTACCAGGAGGTGCGTGCGTGTCGCGCGCGGTCGCGCCATCGTCACGATTTTTCGAATGCCCTATAGCTTTTGCTGGAATATTCACTTATAATCACATTCATCAAACGTACTACATTTGTACTTCTATATCGTACTTGATTTTTATGCGAGGCATTGCTAAGTTTTCCCCAAACCCTCAGCCAAACTTTGGAACTCATGAAAACAAGTTGCAACGAATATCATGAGTACTCAACCTTATTCGTGAAAGTCTCACTTTTTTGAAGGAATGACACCCCTGTCCAATTTTTACCTAGAATCTGAGCGCGGCCTAGCCCTCTTTGATTATGGCTTCCCCCCCCCCCAGATTGGCCACCGCGTCCCATCGAAAAAATTAAGGGGTCAAAACTGACTATTGCATTTTACAAGCTGATAATTTCCGCGTTTGTCAGAAGTCGATATAAAACTGCGTAGCAGAGAAAACGAAATTGTGTGAGAAAAATGCTAAAGTATGCTAATTT